CAAGGAAAGGGACTTGCCTGAGGCCACTCAGCAAATCAGAGGCAGGGCAGGAGACCAGGGCTCCTGTATCCCATTCAGTATTGCCTCACAACATAACTTCCAAAGGAATTTAAATGGAATGCTATTCAGCAATAAAAAGGAACAAAGTACTGATACATGCTACAACATGGATGGATCCTAAAAACATCATACAAGCGTTAAGAAGCTGAATGCAAAAGACCACATATTACGTAATTCCATTTAAATGAAGTGCAGAAAAGGCAAATTTATAGAGACAGAAAGCATTATCAGTGGTTGCCTAGAGCTGGGAGTGGGAGCAAGGATTACCTGCAAACAGACACAGTGCAACTTTTTGGGGTAATGGAAATGATCTAAAACTAGAATGTGGTGATGGTTGCACAACTCTATATATTTGCTAAAGATCACGGAATTATACATGTATATCAGTGAATTTTATGGTATGTAATGTATACCTCAGTCAAACTGTTTCCAGAAAAAGGATTTAGATATGTTCAAGGATAAGAAATCTGTATTGTGTGACAGACCCTGCTAATCTTTTTTTTTTAATATCATTAATGTACAATTACTTGAACAACATTATAGTTATTAGACTCCTCCCATTATCAGACCCTGCTAATCTTTTAAGGGAATGTCTTGGGAAGCAAATATACCTACCTTGTGATATCCCTTAAAGATACTGTGAGAAACATAAGATTTGGCTCTTTGGCCTATGGAATACCCAGGCTGGCATTTTTCATTAAAAAAAAAAATCTCCTGCTTTCTAAAATACGTAAATTTCCTAAAGAAAACAGGTGTGCCTTGGTCACCATTTTAATTACTACACCTAGCACTGTGACCAGCATGCAAATGGTGCTTCACAAAAAATGAATTAAAATAAACTCTAGTTTTGCTGCATCGTGTGATTATGGGTATCTTTAGGAACTAGCTAGTTTCTAGAGTGATGACTCACTGGGAACAGCTTGCATCCCCCATACCCGACTTTCCCAGGCCCCCTCAAAGATCAAAATCTTTGCAGAAGAGATGCTGGTTTCATACATTCCCAGGAGACCGCGTATAAACCAATGGGATTATTTGCTTCAGCTCCCTTTAGACTTCTCTCTTCTCTGTTGCTCCCATTTACCTTCTTCAAGTCAGCCTGAAGAGTACAACTGCCCCTGGGGCAAATAAGATACGCTATCCTAAATGCTGTCCTTCTGATTCCACAGCAGTCCCTCCCCTCTCCCCTCACACCATGCACCAAGTCAGGCATCAAATATCATGAAATCCAATTCAAAGATTTATAAATATAACAGAAGGAATGAGTGATTTGAAACTTGGTCTCCTTTACACCCAGGGCACAGGCTCTAGTGTTTATTTTCAGAGCCAAAAATATTATCTCTAAAGGGCTTTTGTAACAGATAACTACAAAATATCATCACAAGGTCTTCCTCAGCTTTATTTTCTGTGCCTTGGTATACAAGATTTCCCCCTCCTTTCAGCTCCATCTTCTTCACCATCATCTGCTTCAGCTTCCAATTAGACTTCACTTCATGTAAACATTCCTCAACTGACCTTGTCAGATGCTAATGATTCCCTCAGGACTTAGTGTTCAGTTTATAGCCCATTATTTTGCACTAGCTTGTGGGTAGCTTTATCATTTCTCCTAAGTCATTTTATGTTTGTCCTTTCTCCCAAATTCTGAGCATAGGGACCCATTTGCTCTGGTATTTCTTGTCAGCAAGTACAAGCCACTGCACGTGGCAATGCTGAGTCAATGTTGGTTATTTAAGTGTTTGTTTCTCTAACTAATGTTTCTCATCACTTCTGAAAGTTGAGGCTAAAAGCCCTGCAGACCGAAAGGGAGACTCCAGGTTTTGTAAGGCTTAATGCTGTATCATTTAGAGGTTTCTCTGTAAAGAGTAAAAAAATTATAGAATTAGGTACAAGGCCTTGGATAGATTCTGTGCAATGAGAGGCTCTGACTCTTACATTTTGTTATTTACACTGCGAATCTGACTGAAAGAATGAAACCCTAGAAGGAATGAGTGATTTGAAACTTGGTCTCCTTTACACCCAGGGCACAGGCTCTAGTGTTTATTTTCAGAGCCAAAAATATTATCTCTAAAGGGCTTTTGTAACAGATAACTACAAAATATCATCACAAGGTCTTCCTCAGCTTTATTTTCTGTGCCTTGGTATACAAGATTTCCCCCTCCTTTCAGCTCCATCTTCTTCACCATCATCTGCTTCAGCTTCCAATTAGACTTCACTTCATGTAAACATTCCTCAACTGACCTTGTCAGATGCTAATGATTCCCTCAGGACTTAGTGTTCAGTTTATAGCCCATTATTTTGCACTAGCTTGTGGGTAGCTTTATCATTTCTCCTAAGTCATTTTATGTTTGTCCTTTCTCCCAAATTCTGAGCATAGGGACCCATTTGCTCTGGTATTTCTTGTCAGCAAGTACAAGCCACTGCACGTGGCAATGCTGAGTCAATGTTGGTTATTTAAGTGTTTGTTTCTCTAACTAATGTTTCTCATCACTTCTGAAAGTTGAGGCTAAAAGCCCTGCAGACCGAAAGGGAGACTCCAGGTTTTGTAAGGCTTAATGCTGTATCATTTAGAGGTTTCTCTGTAAAGAGTAAAAAAATTATAGAATTAGGTACAAGGCCTTGGATAGATTCTGTGCAATGAGAGGCTCTGACTCTTACATTTTGTTATTTACACTGCGAATCTGACTGAAAGAATGAAACCCAGTTATATCACATCCAACTCTTCAGCCTTGACTGCATTAGGTGTCCATTCCTGGTTTTTCCTGTGGATATCCTGTATCCAACACATTTATTTTCACAAGATGGCTCTGGCTCAAGAAAACAGCCTTGGCAGCCAAATCTCTCTACCTAAAAAAGCCCCAAAGGGCTGGACTGACAATCCTCCAACTTAGTAACTTGGTGGCACTTAGAATAGTGTTCTTTTCAGAGCAGGTGGCTTCTCTTGCAGCGTATGGTGGACGGTGAGGACCTTGTACCCAATTCTGAAAGCCCCCAGTAGCTCAAAGCCTGGAGGAGTTGTGTTGTTGTGCAGCGTAACAACTTGGAATGTTCCAGTACATTCCACCACTGGCCTTGCAACTCCTGCTTCTATTCAGCTAAGGCAAATGCCTAGTAGTCTGCAAAGTAGACTATATCCTGCTGGGGTAGGAAGCAACTGGGCCTTGCTTCTTCCATGCCACTCTGATAATATCACACAAGCTGGCACCTTCCCTGGAAGTCCCACCAGAAGCTCTGTCCAGTTCTCTGACCTCCTCGGTGTTTGCCCAGAATGTCAAGCCAGGGTTTAGATACCGACCCTGTCAATTTCTTGGCCCTGTACACCCAACTCTGAATTCTTCACAAGAAAAATTAGAAATCCTAGGATCCCTGAACCAGTGGTGAGTCTGCAATCCTCAAAATGCCCAGAAAGCTTGTATCACCTGTGGAGAGAGTAATATCAGGACCCCAGGGAGGAAGTAATATAATAAGGATGCTACAGGCCATGAGCTCCTGCTACATGGCACAGAAGAGAATTTCCAATTACTGGGTGCTTATTATAGGCTAAGCAATTTGCACACATAATCTCATTTAGTCCTTATTCATAGTTCTTATACTCTATATAGTAGTTATCATTATTCCCATTTCACAGGTGAGAGAACTGAGGCTCAGAAAGGTTAGGAAATATGTTGAAGAAAGGTTAGGAAATATGGCAAGAGGTGACGGGCCCACCTGCTTTCAAAGGTTGTGTATTACCACTACTGGGGAGCCCAGTAGACTAGATCAGAGGAATGCTGACCCAGAGTCCACTCCTTTCCCAAAGGTTGAAAGTCAGAATTAGGAATACAGGCCAGACCAGTCATGCCATAATCCACTCTCTTGACTCCCTGTCATCTCCCCCAGCCCTAAGCTCACTAAAACCCCTGATTTTGTTTAGATTGCAGGGAAGCAGTGCTCAGAAATTATGGAGGTGAGTCTGACAGGTTCCGGCTATTCCTGGTGTGGGAATTGAACGTTTTTTGAAACTTTCCCTTGACAAAAGCATGTCTCTCCTTCAGTGGACTAGACTAGGACCAGATACATTCTCTTTCTCCAAGTTTCCTACTTGGGGGAGAGAGAGATGGGGAAGCTGGGGGGTTTCCATAAGGAGAAACCAAAGAAGATTAAAGGAGGTAGAAGGGTGCTGCTGCCTTCAAGCAAGACTGCCAGAACCCTGGAGCCAGGATGCTTAAGAAACTTTTGTAGTGTGCCACGTAAATGTGCAAAAGCTCTTCATGGGCTCAAAAGAGAAGCTACAAGAGGCCCTGGGGAAGACGTGGCAGAAGAGGTTAGGAAGTAATAAGTAAGAATCTATCTGGGACTGAAAGAGTTTTTCGTTCTGAAACCACCACAATCAGAAAAGAAAGAGATTCACCACTTATCTCTGTCTCACCACCTCTGGGGTGGGGCAGCCAAATCAGGAGAGTTCTCGTGTATTGTCCTGTCCATTGCCAGAAAAAATTGGCTGTCCTGCCTGCCCAGCCTGCCAGAGTACTGCTGGAAAGTGACCGACTGCTGCATTTGGTTGATAAATGATGGGCACCCTTGCCTGCTGCCCATTCTCTCTTCTCCCTGTTTAGTTTGCAGCCTTTTGCCTGGCAGGGAGGCCCAGAGTAGCGGTTGGGGAAGAAGGGTCCTCCAGACAGTATTTAATACCCAGTGATTTATAGGCTGCTGGAAGGGGAGGGGAGAACCAGAGAAGGGAAGCCCCTGGGACTACTTTCCATTACGCATCAGTACACCATTGACAAGAGTCAAAGTATTTTCTTGATGCCTATGCCTATAGGTCCAGCTTTGGGACAAAATACAGCCCTCACCCCTCCTGGGGCCCAAGATTCTGGCACCATCTCTGATGAGACCAGTGGAACTGGCTTGAGTGAGACTAACAGCCACACACCAAAATCCTCAATTATTTTCTTTCTTTTTTCCGTAGAGGGTGCACCTTTCTTGGAAGTACTGCAATACCAGGTTGATGCGTGGAGTGGATACAACAAGCTCCTATTCCATCTCCCTGCTCCAAAATCCATTTAATATATTGTCCTCAGAGAGAGGATGTATTGGATATTAAACTGGTAAGAACAGATACTATACTTGATCTTAGCCAAAAGGCTGAGCAGCAATCAACCTTTTAAGTTCCACAGTGCTAGGAGTGGGAAGAAACAAGTGAGAGAGAGTAGCTCAAATGCTGTTTTTGGAGGATTTATTTTTTTAATGTACAAGAATTCTTTTGAACCCTCCATGACTCCAAGAAGAACTATTTGAAATGTCCCTGCTTTAGGGGCCAGGGGGTTAAGTGCCAGGGATGGAAGCTAAATGCCAGGGCTGCTGGTTGCAGGGATTCTTGGGACTGAAGCTAATGGCCTTCCTGCTGTGGGCTCAGGAATACCAGGACCACACTCTGGTTGCCCTGAGAGATGCAGCCATTTTTACTTCTGATTGAAGGGCATTACCTTCTGGGATTTTCCCTTCTCTGGTAAAAACCAGAGTAGAATATATGCCCAGGGGACCATGAGAATATGTACCCAAGAGTCTTGAGGGCACTGAAGTGATAATATTGTGAGGTAGAGTGAGACCAATGCTTTATATAGTTCAGAATTTGGTCCCTGCTCGTTGAAAGAAGATGCATTTGTGAGAGCGCATGGTGATTGCCCTTCATAAGGATCATCTCGAAAGGTCAAGGGATGAGCCTTGAATAGCCCTAATGTCCCTGAAATGGTCTATTGTATAGCTATTGTCTATACATGTAAAGGAGCCTTTCTTGACCCTATTCATACTTTTCTTTATTTGCCTCTGGGTTTCCCAAGTGAATAATTGCATACCACCTTATCCCCAAGTCTACCTCCCTTATGTTTCAACGATGAAATCGTTCAACATAACATTTCTTGAGCTCCTATTATGTGCCAGGCATCATGCTAGGTGCTGGATACACAAATAACACATGATGTCTTCTTTGGGGAGCCCCCAGTCTAGTTTTTGAAACATTTTCCTTTGTGCTGACCTTTTGGGATTTGGTAAAGAAATCTGCATCTACCCCTTTATATTTTCATATGTGTGGATCATATCCTCAGCCTCCATCTTTTCATAATCTTTAAAATTTTTCTTCATAGGTAGCCTCCACTTTTCCCTTGGTCAACTTAGGTGACTCTCCCTGGACTCTGATATATCTTCCTTGGGAGTTGAGTGACCAGAATTAGGTATTGTATTTCATGTTAGTGCTATGTGAATGTGTGCACAAGAGTAACACTATGTTTTCTGGCTACCTTTATTCATTTGTCAGTCTTCTGAACAGCCAGTAGTTATTAAATGCCAACTAAGCACCACACACTGTGCTAGGTACTGAGGCTGCAATGGTAAATAAAATGGACACCCCTCACAGTCTGGGGTATGTGTCGGTGGGATAGAAGCTAAAGAATTCAAGTAGTCACACAAATAAATCTATAATTACAAACTGAGACAAGTGCTATGAAGGAAAGTACAGGGTGCTATAAAATGTAGAAATGGGGATCTGGATCTAATCTCAAAGCTTGAGGAAAAAGTTCCCTAAGGAAATGACCTTTGGTTCAAGATCTGAAGGTACAAGTAGGTGAAAAGATTATGGGGGAAGAACATTACAGGTAGAGCAGAGAGCATGTGCAAAGGTCCTGAGACAGAAGGAAAAAACAGTGCATGCCAAAGGAAATGTGGGAAGGCCAATGATAGGCTGTAGCACAGAGAATGAGTTTGTGTGGGATGGGCTGGAGAGATAGCTAGAGGACAGACCAGGTAGGACACTGCAGCCCAGGGAAGGATTTTAGTCTTTATATTACAGAAATACATGAATGAAAGTCTTTACAGAAGAGCCAACAATGGCTTTTTTCATATTACTAATGCTGCTTATACTTGGCTTAAAGGAGAACAGTAATGATGGTCTGAAATGCTAGGAACTTTTCCAGTGTCCTGGCATGGTATGGCTATGTCTGGCTGGTACTGGGGAGGCCCCAAACTGATGAGGCAGCCCCAGCTTGAAAGTGGGTGGAGTGCTTTGCTTGAGGTATCAGCTCCACAATGACGCTTGGAACAGCCCCAAGGCCATGGTTCTTGTTCCTGATAACCCTATCATGTATACCTTGTTTAAATGGTCTGCTCATCCTGCCAGCCTCCTGCAGCAGCTGGGCTCCCCACCCAGTCTGGGGAAGGCCCCTGGATAAGAACCCTGACTCTGCCCGGAACCTGGGGTCTTGATCTGCTGAGTTCAGGCCTCAGTACTGTCTGCACCTGTAGTACTTACATATCCTTGATAGTTTTCCAGAGGTATTCATGGAAACAATGGAAGAAGGTCATGACAGCTGGACTTGGCCTTTCTGAAGTTTTCTCTTTCCTTCCAGTCCCATCTTTGGAGAATGTGGTTTGGTGTAGTGACATCTACTGGCAAGGTTAGGCAGTTAAGAAAATGACCAGATGCCCACTGATCCTCAAGTAATTTCCAGGCTAGTTAAGAAAATAATTCTTCATTCCTGAGAGTGGGATGGGGTCAGTAATCTCAGTTGGTTGGAGTAAGACTAAGAAGACCAAGGTTGTGGGTTTGGACCATGTATGTGCTGGTTTGCCTGAAACAGAGAAATGTTTTTTCTTGGTAGTAGTTTGTATCCCTAACTTTGGCCAGTCGATTCACATTTGAGTAGTTAATCACAAAGGAGGTTGCGTAAACATGTGGGAATGACTCAGAGGGACCTATGCCTAGCCTCCATTCCTGGGAAGGCAGCTCCCAGCAAATGAAATAACCCACAGTTTACAAATAGCAGAATGCAGGGTCATTTTTCATCCTCGTGAAGTTGACTGACTAGGGAAAATTATTTTCTGGAACTCAGTTTCTCCTAGGTCACCAGGAAAATAATGTCAGTGAACCATCTTCAAGGTTTCTATAGTGGACAAGAGTGACTACAGCTTTTAAAGTGGTTGCTCAACTCTTGTGGAGATAAGACATAACCTGCCTCCTCAGTGCTTTCACCCATGTTATCTATACATTCTGTTCACAATCTCATTCTCATTCTCAAGCATACCTGACACTAGAGGTGACTGGGAAGCCAGAGCCAAAGGGTGAGGAGAAAATACTAGAGGAATAATACTAGAAGCATATGTTCTGCATTCTTAATAACACTGACTCTAACTGAACATGGCTCAAACAAACATCATTCAAACTTAAGAGAAAATCAAGACCCCAGGAGAGAAATGGTACTGAATAGGATTTCGCAGAAGAGGAAACAGAACTAGTGAGTAACACATAAAAAATTGTAGTATTTTCTCACAAGAAGGAAAACCAAAAGCACATTTGAGGTGCAGTTTTCATTTTTAGTAAAACTGCAAGGTTTTTATTAAGTAGCAACACTTAGTTCTGGGAATGATGTCTTAAGATTGTCACACAATGTATCACACAATGATATGACACTTTAAATTTGGGTAAGTCTTTGGGAAAAGAAAGAAAGCAATATATAAGAGGTACAAATAAAAACGGAGAGAGCTGTAGATGCATGCATTCACTCCCCACAGTATTATCTGACATAAAAGACCCTCAGTAGCTCTCCTCCAGGCGGGGCCACAAGGGTGCCTGTGAGCTGGCCTCTGAGAGCCGGGCGCCGACCCACACCAGAAAGAAGGATATATAATATAAAGGATAGAGGCCTCAGAATCTGCACCTCAACCATGAGATAATTACTGCTGTAACAATTCAGGAGAAGAGATTCAGTGGTAACATCTACTTCTTCTCCTAATCATTTCTAAGAATATTGCTTTTGTTTACTTACTACTTGAGGATTCTTGGAAGAAAAGTACTATGTGCTTATAAAAGGTTACATGGGGGTATATACCTGAAGAATTTTGAAGATTCAATAATGAAAACAACACAAACAAGTAAAGAGGTAAGGCACAATTGGAAATGCTAATATCCGGATGCCCTTCTACTGAAAAAAACTGAAGGCTTTTAACTTGAATTACAGTATGCAGAACCTTGTTATGGACTAAAAATTTGTGTACACCTCCAAATTCATATGTTCAAATCCTAATCCCTGATGTGGTATTTAGAGATGGAGCCTTTTGACTGCAATTAGGGTTGGATGAGGATATGAGAGTAGGCCCTTATAAGAAGAGACACCAGAGAACTTGCCTTCTCTCTCTCCCTGCTATGTGAGAACACAGTAAGCAGGCAGCTTTCTACAAGCCAGGAAGAGAGCTTTCACCAGGAACCAAATGATCTTGGACTTACCAGCCTCCAGAACTGTGAGAAATAAATTTCTGTTGTTTAAACCAAAAAAAAAAGACACTCAGTAATCCCACACAGGGCAATGACAGCACATTATATCACAATACCACAATGTAGTGTCACACAGGATTACAAGTACAATTATGAAGACTACAGAGATACATGGGAAATGTTGAGAATGTGTAAAAAATACGAAATTTCATGTAAAACAGCGGGTGCATCTACAAAAAGTGTGCACACATAATAAAACATACACATGTGCAAAAAATAAAAATAGCTTTGTGGCAGCAGTGAGATTAAGGATGTCTTTTTAGTTTCTTAAAAACTTATTCAGTGTTATTATACTGGGTTAATTATTTTTGAAAAGGTGAAGAGGTTGGGGCAGGGGAAGGTTAAACTTCCCCAGCCTCCTCCTATGCACACTTGTCTTAAATAATCAGGTCTAGGAGGGAGGCAACATGTCTGTTTATTCACAGCATGCACCCAGCCCAATGCCTAGCACTCATCAGAGGCTTAATAAATATTTGTTGTATGAATAAATGAGAATGCTTGCAGTTTAAAAGTCTCAACCCTTGATAAATAGGTACATTCCATCCTGGGGAATAAACAGGAATTTGGTTTTACCAGAATAAAAAAAATGAAGGTCCAACCATAATGGCAATTCCCTGGTCTTCCTGATAAGCGAATTTGGGCATAGAGGACCCAGGGAAAGACAGTCTGTTAAAGCAAACCTAATTACCTCCCAGGAACATATGTTGCCCTGAGGCCTCTGCTGCCATGACAACATCGTGTAACTATAACTACAGCTCTGGAGAGCTTTGGCCTGTCAAATATGGAATAGGATGTCTTCATCATACCAAGGCTTTGTGCTCAGACTGACTTCCCCAGGGAGGCTTGGATCAAGGGAAGGGAGGTAGATAAGTGGAGGAAGGGGAGAAATGAAGGACAGGAATGGGAGAACTACTAAATCAGAATCAAGAATGATTCTTTTTTTTTTAAAGCAATTTTCAAAATGCAGTTATTTGACTGTTTAGTTTTTGTGGTTATTTATAACCCCAGCTGCAGAGGCGGGAGCTGTGCCTGAGCCTGTTGGGATCTGTCCAATACCTTCCTCCAGGGTGGGGTTGGGGATGGGTGGGATAAGGGCAATACAGGAATCAAATTAACAAGTGGCCAAGAAGGTAAGAGAAGTTCCGGACCATCTCCAGCAAGAGCAAGAAAAGATGGACCATTTCTGACTATGCTGTCTCTATTTTTAAGGCAGCTGTAAATGAAAATATTTTAATATAAATTATGGTCACATCAGCAACCTCTGAGATTCTCCCAAAGTGCCAGAGACTAGGCCAATACTTTCACTCAGAAGTTATGAGATTGGCCTGACTGTACTAGCAGTGACCTTAAAAGGTCAAGGCATGCTTCCCCACCTTACAGGACAGTTATCTGCACATAGAGGAACCTGCTGTCCCTAACCCATTCTAGGCACATCACTGGTCAAGAAGACATGCAGAGGAGAGAGGATGGCTAGTTCTAGGCAAGTCTTTCCTAACTGAACCAACACCTGGCAGTGGCCACCCCACTTACCAAGTCCTGTTAGAGGCCAGGCAGCAAGAGAGAAGCTGGAGACAGTGTAGCCACCAGGCAAGGCTCCCAACCTCCGGGAGCTCCTGGGCCTTTGAAGCAAACAACAAATAACACTTTGTATTTGAAATACAGTACCTATGTTTTTACTGGCAAGGGGAGCATTTTAAAGGAAATTGAAGGATCACTTATGGAGCTTACGAATCTAACAGAGGAGACAAGTTACAGATACACAAGAAAGAAAATGTGCAAGGACTTTCACAAAAGATTGCCCCTACTACCTCACCCTGTTAGTTCCTCCTGGACTAAGGTTATTTCAGCCACATTCTAACTGGTCTCTCTGCCACTCTGATCATCCCTCCCACCTTGGCCTTCAGAGAGAAATCTCCAAACTGCAAGTCTGATCATGAGACTCCTCTGCTTAATGTCTTTCAGATATTCCCCATTTTCTCCAGTCCAGGCTCCTCAGCAGGATGTTCAAGGCTTTGCATGAACTGGTTCCCCAAACCACTCTTGCCTCTTCTTCCGGCAATCATCCCAACTCTACCCTGCCATCAGTCGCCCCCATGCAAGTGCTCCACACTTCTGCACATGCTGCTGCCTTTGCATGAAAAGCCCCTATTCTCCTTGTCTACCTGCAAACTTATTTGTCCTATGAAATACCACTCTTATTTCACCTCTGCTATGAATCCTTTCCTGAACCCTCCATATGGAACACTCTGCTTCCTCCTCTGTACCACTTCTGAGCCCTGCTCATCATTCTTTTTTCCATTAATACTCTAGAGGGTTTGAGGAAAATGAGATTACTGGCTGGTGCTTTGTCAATAGTGGTGTGACTCTATGCCTGGCATATAATGCCTGAGTAAGCAGTGTGTGTTTCTTGAGCTGAGGTGAGGTGAGGTTGAACAGGCAAAAGCAAACAACCATTGGACCATGTAAAGATATATTCACTAACATTAGAATGTTATAGCCATGACTAGGGTGACTGGAATTATAAATATTAACAATAACAGCCATTTACCGAGCACTTACTGTCAAGAACTATGCTCAGTGCTTCACAACAATCATCTCCTTTAATCCTTATAACCACCCTATGAGGTAGCTGTTAGTGTCCCCACTTCACAGGTGAGAAAGTTGAGGCACCAATAAAAAAACTCATCCAAGAGCAACACAGGTAGAAAATGGCAGAGCTGAAATTCTAATGCAGATCTGATATCAAAGCCCTGTACTGGACACTAGTAGAGAGGATGAATAAAATAAATAGGAGTATGTTCCTGTATCTATTTGGGAAGGAGAAAGGGGAACAGAACAGAACATCTACTAAATTGTATAAGGAAAAGTATAAATATAGCAAAATAACATATCATTGAGTGCTAGTACCTTAGAAAGAATAAATCAAAAAAGATGTTCTGGAGGCAGTACATTTTAAAGAAGGTTGAGAAATGCATGCAGGAAGGAAGAAAAGCCCATGTGAAAGCATAAAGACAGGAAGAACAGTGGAGCTATGTGAAGTCTGGCAGGTGAGGATGGGCAAGGACAAGGCTTTGAAACCAACATAAGTTCCTGTTTCAAGAGTTAATTGGGTCATGATGAAAATGACACTCAAAATAATTATATTTGGTTCAAACAAGAAAGGAAGAAGAAAAAAGCTTTTAGGATTCCCTCTTCCTGATTCTAAATATATTAGCAGCTGTACTTTCATCTTAAGTACACATTTTCCTTATAATCATCTTTCTATCCCATAGGTGTTTTTCCCCATCTTTTTGCCAAAGCGTACACTTTCAAAGGACGAGAATCATTTCTAAATGAAACTGTAAACTCTTTAGTGTTAGCTGCAGTGTTTAAGAATCCAGTATAAGGATTAACTAACGTTGAACACTTGTGTTGTTGGTATTTGTAGCTGGTATTTAGATCTTATTCTCTTAAACGTTAACTTCCAGGGAGGGATACTTCACCATCTTTGAGTACTATACATTCAGAGACTGTTAAAGAGTATACATATTCTGATTGTTTAGCAAGAATTTACTGTGGGTAGAGCATGGCCTGGGCACTATTAAGGATGGTACAAAAAATTGACATATACTCTTAACATAAGAGCTCCTTAACAGCAGTCGGGGAGCCAGAACATCCAAGAGTAACCTCAGGAACACACCAGTAAGTGCAAAATAACAGTAATGGTGTTAAATGCTTAAGTGCTGAAAGGATACAAAAGAAGAAACGTGAGCACTTTTCAAAGAAGTTCTTAGTGCAGTTCAATCTAAGTAGGTCATTCAAGAATATTTACACTAAAAGTAGGTTATTCAAGAGTATTTACACTAAACACTAAAAGCTAAATACTAAATACGAAAAGCTGCCTGTGTTAACACTAGCCCAGAATATTATCCCCAAGGAGGGTGCTGGTTAAAGGTCTGGGAAAGTTAACTCTTCAGGTTCCAAGATGTTTACCTGCTGCTGCTCTGCGCTTTAGCTTTGCTCCGGGGCGATACCTCCATCTGAGTTGGCCTCAAGTGAAACTGGGGCCCAGGATCCTAACTTAATGACTGAGCTCGCCTGTATTCCCTTCCACCCGGTCCCTCTTGGCCAAGTTGTGGCCCTCTCAAGACTTTTCCTCCAGCGAGGTTAAATCCTCAACACCCGTTCTCCACTTTCAAGCTTTTCTTACGGCTCTTCTTGGAGCCTTAGGTCCTCGACCAACTTCTCCTTCCTACGTTCTTTCAAAGCAGGCACTATTATTATTTAAATATCGATGCTTTTTTTTTTTTAGCTCCAGCTCCACTAAAAATATTCCTTTCTCTTCTTCCCTCCCCCAACTCCTGGCTCACACATCTGTATTTCCAGAAGTCACTTGGGCTAAATGGTGTTCAATGCTTCCCTGATTCTGGTGCAGCACCCATCCCCACCCCTTGAGGCCACGCAGGGCTCTCATACCCGTACGGAATGGGGAAAGGAGGCCGGCGCTCACCATAAACTAAATTGAGAATTCTTCGGAGCTACAGCTTCTGGAGAATGGTTTTACCTCCTTCCGCGACGTAAACGACTAACTTGCTTGCTGTGCTCTAAGGGCAAGGGCAATGTCTCCTCTACCAGACAAGAAACTTGCTGGTGCTGGACATCACCTTTTACAAGCCCCCATTCTCAGCACTTTGAGACACAAGAAGGCTCTCAAAATACGGTTTCTTGAGCAAACTATCCCTTCCCAACTATGAGCTTATATGATAAATGGAAACGTCCTTTGGCCAAGTAGGCAACAAAGGGGTTAAATCTCATCCACTTGATGGATTCTGGGGGTTTCTTTCCTCGATTTAAGAAATTAAATCGACTGGGTGGGGAGATTTTGCCCAAAATAAAGATGACAGTTAACTTCAACTGTCAGGCTTCGTCCCAAGCGAGAATGGCTACTCCCTCCCAACAAAGGGTGAGAGTCCCCTAACTAAAAATGGCTGATCCAGGTTTCTACTATCTATGCCGCTTTCTGCCCAGTCCCAAAATGGCGCTCACCGGCCTCACCAGTGGAGCGAACCTCCCAGCACCCTCTCTGGCCGGTAACGTCAAGTGACGCGAGCACCAGACGGAAGTGACGGAAAAAGCGCCTCAGCCCGCGGCGCCTGCGCAGAAGGCTTTAGACGCTGTGAAGCAGGAGGCACTTGGGATCGTCCGCAAGGTTGGGACTGTTACAGAGGCCGCCACGGAGCCCGCCGGAGCCACCGTTCCTACTGCTGCTGCCGCCGCTGCCCGAATCGGAACCATCGGGCCGCAGCCGCCGGCAATGCCGCGAAGGAAGGTGAGAGGAACGGGACAGAAGGGATGGCGGGTTTCTAAGGACAGTCGATTGAGCAACGTGACGCATTGGCTACGCCTCACGATGGCTGGGTTCCAACTTCCCGCGTCCAGCTCAGCAGCCCTCTCTTCTCTCCATACCCAAAAGAGAAATGTGGGCCCAACCCTGGCCTCGGCCTATGCTTGCATCTATTCCCGCCCTCTGCTCGCCTGTATCGGAGGCGTTCTTCTCGGTAATTGGTCGCTGAAAGATCTAGAAGCATATTGATTGGCTGGTGACACCGCCCATTTGGAGTCCAACAGTCACCACCCCGCGTGCGGGGGCGGTGACGAGGCGGGGAGACCAGCCCTACCGCTTTTCGACTGGCTGAAGAGAACGATCCCCCCTCTCTTGATTGGCTGGGCTTGGCAGTCTGTCCTGTGGGGGGGGGGGCGCGGTTTCCTAGTACCATGATTGGGTGGCACGAGTCCCCGCCCTTCCGGCTAGTGATGCTGATAGGTGCAGAGGCGGGGTGTTTTAGCATCCTTCCTGTCTGGGTCGGGGGCACAACAAAGCAGAGAACTGGGTGGTAGAGAAACAGCGCCCACTCCCCAGGGATTCATTCCACTTAGGCCTGTTGCGTCTACGCCGTAATGTTTATCTTATTTGCTTAGTTGGACAGCGCCTACAAAATGCAGTTCGTAGAATCAGAAATTTTTTACAATTAAATAGGATTTAATAGGATCACCTAGGACACCCCCATTCCTTTTCTGCAGCTGAACACACCGAAGCCTAATGGAGTGCCCCAAGCCATTCAATTAGATAACGCCAGAGCCAGGACTACAGAACAAATTTAACTGAATTCAACAAATGTTTTTTGACTACTCGATACCTGCTGGTTGCTGGAAATTCAAAAATTAACTAGACCTGTCCCTGGCCTAAGGAAATCACAGTGTAATGTGGAAAAACAGGCATATAAATAACGAGAAGGAGCTAGCAAGTTCTCTACTTGGAAGTAAGATACCAAGCTTTATGGGAAGGAAATGAGGGACCAATTAAGTCAGCTCTAGAGTAGGATGGTAAGTAGATAGGTGAAAGCCAGGGAGAAGACCTGAATTCCAGAGTCAAGCGAGGAAGGGGGGATGGTCAGGATTCAAATATTGGGGTAATTGGACTAGATGACCAGTAAGACTCCCCCTCAATCCTGTGGATTTTCTGTGACTCTGGTGCCTCTGTTTCTGGCCAAAATTCCCTTGAAATATTTTGAAAGCTAGGTGGTGGTCTTGTTCATTCCTGCAGAAATATTTCTCTTCATAGTGGCTTTTTAATAAAATATTTATACCTTTTATTGTCTACTAAAAATGACCTGCAGTAACGGGTGGTGTTTATTTGGTTAAGGCTTACCAAATGCAGGAATAGTATTGGTTCCTTGGAATAGTCAGCAGCTCCCTTTATGAAATTCCCAAATACACAGAGCTCTGAAAATGTAAGTTTTTTTAGTAACTTAATTGGTGGCAAAACTTGTCCTAAACTGTCCTGAGACTAGTAGTTTTTGGGAGTCTCATTTAGTGTGATTGTTCGTATATTTTGCTGTGGAAATATTAATGTGTTTGATTGTAGGATGTTACTTGCTGGGTACATGCAAAGTGTTCCTTTTCCACACATAAAACATGAATTTCAAACACAACTGGCCCTATGGGGTTTTGAATAAAGAGTAGGGGACTTGTAGGTTGAAGTTTTGTATTTTTTTTTTTTTAGCAAGTACTCTTCCTGTTCTGCTTTAGCAAAGGATATAATGTTAATGCTCACTAAATAGTTATCTTTATGTCTATAATAATTGACAATAATTGCTAACTGAAAAGATAATAAAATGTTTTTGAATACCTATGAGTCTTCATGTGCAAGCTGCCTTTTTTTAAGAAAATACTTTTGGCATTCATGTGGAAAAACTTCATAGGTAGATAGAAAATAGAATGTAAGAAAGAAGAATTTTAATATTTTTCTTTTAGTTTTTTTGGGATCAAGAGTTGTGGACCTTGATATTTTGAATTTAGTGTATGGTTTTAAAAAGTGTGATGGCTATTTGTGGAGACTTTGAACAAAAGCTACCCTAAAGTTAATGGAGTGAAGCACGAACATTTTTCTCACTACCCTGGACTTTCTATAACTATATGGTTTTGTCAGCCGAGTTGGGTACTTTTATTTCCAGTTTGTGGTACTGACCTCCCAATGGACTTGTTTCAGAATTAGTGATAATACAGTAAGAATTAATTTTATTTAGTAAAGGTGCATTGTCTGTAGATTGTTCATTTAAATGTCCTAAACAAAGGGAAGTTGGCTGTGGAATCTGTCTTGGGTTTGTCAGCATCATGGTTTTTAGCATCATGGTTTGTTTTATTTCCACTGTAAATACAAATCCACACAGTAAATGCTTCTGTTGCTAATGTCTGGATCTATGGTGTTACAGAGGAATGCAGGCAGTAGTTCAGATGGAACCGAAGATTCCGATTTTTCTACAGATCTCGAGCACACAGACAGTTCAGAGAGCGATGGCACATCCCGGCGGTCTGCTCGCATCACCCGCTCCTCAGCCCGGCTGAGCCAGAGTTCCCAAGGTAAAAGACTTCCTTCTTCCTGACCACGCCTTGCAGCTGACTAGCTGGTCATCATATTATTATGCTAGTTAATGTGGAAACTGGACCCTTGGCTTGGTGTAGATGATAGAATCTGGTAAGAGGCAGAGTGAATGACAACAGATGTATCAGGTCTTTAAAAATGGTTGTATTGTGACTGCTGCCCAATTGGTAGACCCAAAGGAACTGTGTCTGATATAATGGATGTGTGACATATGTATATCTTGAGTTGTTTAATTTTTTTTATATTATAGTTTTCCCATCAGTAGAATGGTAATATCTCTTCACTTTCTGTTAGAATGGTATAGGCTTGGGGACTTAAAATAGTCTCCTGACCTTGTTATTGGAGGACCCCCAATACTTCTAAATACTACTCAAACTTTTATAAAATTCTGTGAATAGTCTGATACAATTAATAGATATAAATAGTTGCACCCAACTGTTAGTTGTAATAACCCAGAATTTCACTTCGGTAGTAAAGTATAGAGAATCTTGATGTTGGAAGGTAGTTGGAAGGTTTGGAAGGTTCCCTAGTGCAATTAGCCTTCTGGGGTTAGGGTTGGAAGGTACTGTACCCTGGTCCCTCCTGGCTCTGCTCTGGGATTCCTTGGGGGAGGAAAGAAGGTTGCAGTTAATAAATAAAACTGATGGACAATAGGTGGTAATAACCTACAGGGAAAAATTGTAAGAGACTTTGAGCACTTAAATAGCACTGACTGATGACTGCTTTATGAGCATGTTGCAAAATGAGAGAAAAGCATCAGTTTTTCAGGCAAGAAAGTGGGAACATTCTCTCTTAACAACTGTTCGTAACTTTCTTTTGAATTCAGCATTTCAGCTGAAGTAAAGCTGTTGTCTCAACTATAATTCAGGTATTGTGCACGTACTAGAATGCCATGATAGAAAAATCATAGTTCCTGCCCTCAAGGAGCTCACAGTTTTGTGCAGGATATAGATATGAAAATGGATCATGGTAATTCATTGTGGTAAGGGCTCTGAGAGAGGTTTGCATAGAAGACTGTGGAAGCCCAGAGATGAGGCAGCCAACTGAGGGCAGGTCTCCCAGATGGAAATCTTAAAAGATCTAGTAGGGATCTAGTTTAAAAAAGAGGAAAATGTTACTCTACATAGAGGGATATGTAATTGCAAAGGAGGGGCATAATGCTGTTGCAAAGTATAACTGGCTCTGCCCTGGACACCTGAAAGTTGTAAATATTCAGAACCGCTAGGAAATACCTGAGCTCTGGGTCTCTCTATCGTTATTATTATACTTTGACTTCAGAGTTGCACAACTCCTAGGGGTACTATTCACAATGTAGTTTATGTAAGGCAGCCCTCTCTAAAGCAAATTGTAGACAATGTCGTAAGTAGAACCTCCTCGAGATGTGCAAACTGATACAACCCAGCTGTGTGCTAACTTTTTTTACCCCAAAGTTTGAGAATTTCAGTTTTCTTCTTTTGAGAACATAAAAAAATTTTATTATTGTAAAGTCTTTTGTTATTTAAATATGCTTTAATTTCAGCTTTGAATTCCTTTTATTCCTTGTTTAAGGGATATAAATTAGAGATATAAAAAGGCTGCGAGGTGCTTCAGTATGGTTTTGCTATCCAAAAGAATTTTAAAAGCTGCATTCTTGTCTTAACCGCTTTGAACTTATTGTGATTTTGCTTCAGGGTGTCAGGGTAATTGGGAGGAAAAAAAAGATCTCTAAAGAAAAGAAGAATTTGTGTATTATTATACCTTTAGTAGCAAAATACCTGTTTTATGGTGGGTTGGAGTAAGGGAAGAAAGAGAGGTTGCAGCTAATATTTATAAAGCACTGTATCTATGTTCCAGGATCATGTTAAATGCTTTACATGAATTATCTCCCTTATTCCTTACAACAGACATATAAGGAATGTGCTACTTATATTTTCCTTTTTTAATAGTTGAGGAAATAGACTTGGAGAGATAACTTGTCTAAGATACTACAGCTAGTTGGTAGGGTAGAGTGGAATTGAATTGGAGTCAGTCTTGATTCCAGAACCTAAATTATCAATTCTATACTATATTGTATCTCTACACCTGATCTAGGCTTTTTGCTTAAATTTTACTTAATAAAATGGATACTTAAAAATTTTTTTTGGATTTTGTGAAATAAGAGAGGAGGGCTTACATGCTAATAAAGCGTATCGGTGACAAATAAGACGAATTTTCTCCTTTTCTCTTTATTTTATTATCTTTTAAAATCGGGATCAGATTCCAGCCCTGTTAGAAATTTGCAGTCTTTTGGCACTGAGGAGCCTGCTTATTCTACCCGAAGAGTGACCCGTAGTCAGCAGCAGCCCACCCCAGTGACTCCGAAAAAATACCCACTTCGGCAGACTCGTTCATCTGGCTCAGAAACTGAGCAAGTGGTTGACTTTTCAGATAGAGGTGAGTGGGTATAGTATGGTTTAAACCCAATATAGAGAGGATCTGGTCAATTTCCTCTTAGGGAAGGCTTGAGGCCACTGCAGATAGATGCCTAATACAAACAGAATTCAGCCAGATGAATACTATTCACCTGATTCCTGTCTAACGTCTTGCAGAAGAGAGTTTGATACTGGAGGTCTAGAGTAGCTGGAGTACATTAAATTGGACCTGTAAGAAGCAAAACGGTCTCGGGCCCTCTTAACTTGCAGATGAGGAGGGTTTGAACCAGACTTTCTTACAGCCATGCTTATCAGTCTAATTTCTGAGAAGTAACCTTCGGTAATGGGGAATGGTAAGCCATTGAGATTGTGATTTACCAGCCTGAATCAGAGACCTTAGTCTATATTGTATCTCTACACCTGATCTAGGCTTTTTGCTTAAATTTTACTTAATAAAATGGATACTTAAAAATTTTTTTTGGATTTTGTGAAATAAGAGAGGAGGGCTTACATGCTAATAAAGCATATCGGTGACAAATAAGACGAATTTTCTCCTTTTCTCTTTATTTTATTATCTTTTAAAATCGGGATCAGATTCCAGCCCTGTTAGAAATTTGCAGTCTTTTGGCACTGAGGAGCCTGCTTATTCTACCCGAAGAGTGACCCGTAGTCAGCAGCAGCCCACCCCAGTGACTCCGAAAAAATACCCACTTCGGCAGACTCGTTCATCTGGCTCAGAAACTGAGCAAGTGGTTGACTTTTCAGATAGAGGTGAGTGGGTATAGTATGGTTTAAACCCAATATAGAGAGGATCTGGTCAATTTCCTCTTAGGGAAGGCTTGAGGCCACTGCAGATAGATGCCTAATACAAACAGAATTCAGCCAGATGAATACTATTCACCTGATTCCTGTCTAACGTCTTGCAGAAGAGAGTTTGATACTGGAGGTCTAGAGTAGCTGGAGTACATTAAATTGGACCTGTAAGAAGCAAAACGGTCTGGGGCCCTCTTAACTTGCAGATGAGGAGGGTTTGAACCAGACTTTCTTACAGCCATGCTTATCAGTCTAATTTCTGAGAAGTAACCTTCGGTAATGGGGAATGGTAAGCCATTGAGATTGTGATTTACCAGCCTGAATCAGAGACCTTAGAATAGAGGTAACAGACTGCTGAGCTTCTAGCCTGAACATGGTTGGTTAGTTTATTTGCACAGTGTTTATGTTTATTATTATAATTTCTTAGTTTGTTTCATGTAAAAACAAATTTTTACAGCGATTTCATGTAAAAACCTGGGTTACTTGTTTCTTTTAAAAAATGGAAGGCTCTGGGAACATGAGGTCACCATTCACCCACAGTAATAATTGGCTGGCACTGAATAGTAGTAGTTTACTTGAGATGAACAACTGGCTCTCTATTTGGCTTTGCTCAGCCTTTGTAGGCATTTGGTTCGCAACCCGTGATTTTAAAGTCTAGAACTGTTAGATTACCAAGAAGCTAACTCAAAGAGTCAAGTCCATTCACACCCACACCAAACCTGTTCAGTATCCAGAAGGAAAACTCTTTTCACTTCCTTTCCATCTTTATATCTCCTAGAAGGAGAGTGGGATGGTAATGTTTTTAAAAAATTTATTTCCATCCAGTTTGATTACCCATGACTGGGGGCTTAGTAGAAACTCAGATAAATAAAATGTATTAGGTAGACCTCAAATTTAATTTTAGTCACAATTTAAAGTAGCACAAAAGGAATGATGTTAGTTTCTCTTCAATTTCCATTTTGCCTTATAGAAGACAAGTGGCCAAAAATTACTGGTTAAATCATAGGAAGAGCATGTGGGAAGCCTGTAAACTCTTGAATAGTAAACCTGAATAAATGGACCCCATTCACGAGTTCTACCAATTGTCATTGCTTTAGAAACTAAAAATACAGCTGATCATGACGAATCTCCACCTCGAACTCCAACTGGAAATGCACCTTCTTCTGAGTCTGACATTGACATCTCCAGCCCGAATGTGTCTCATGATGAGAGCATTGCCAAGGACATGTCCCTGAAGGACTCGGGCAGCGATCTTTCTCATCGCCCCAAGCGCCGTCGCTTTCATGAAAGCTACAATTTCAATATGAAGTGTCCTACGCCAGGCTGTAACTCACTAGGTGAGTGTGCTCTGGCTTCATGGCACCCTGTGTTCTGTGGTTCTCTTCTGGAATTAGGATCATGAAGAAATGCTTTGTATTCTGTTGCAACCTATCTTCTTAGGCTCTTCAGTGATTATACACTCAGAGTAGCATTGAGTTGCCCACTTGAGTAAAAGCATTTTCCTTCTTGGCCTATTATCCATAATAATATATCTGTTTGCAAGGAAAGTAACTGTGATGTACCATTTAGTTTATTGAGAGCTATTCCCAGTGAAAAATTCTCTCCTTTTGTCAGCAGAAAACAAAATAGAAGACTGATTATCTCTAAACATCTCATTGTATGGCACATAGTTCAAGCTTAATAAGGATAATAAAGCATAAGCTTGTGCAGAATAGGGCTTCTATGGCCATAGCTTCTAAAGAAATAAAAAAACAGATTTCCTGTCAAGAGGCTATGAAACTAAGAAGGCATAATGAGAGCTTGGCCTTTTTTAACTTTGGTTGCTTGAGGTCCTGTGACCTTGTATACTTAGTAAGTGTAAGTCAGACAAAGACTTTTCAGAAAAATTAGTATTTCATTGTTTTCTTATGACTTGTACTCCTTACTGAGGAGTCTTTTTTGATGGTTTAAATCTTATTTATGCTCCTTAAGTGAGCTTTGGTGCAAATGTTGACCTTAAGCTTTTGTCTGGAGTTGGTAGGCACTGATTGGAAAATTGGAGGCCTTTCACTACTGGGTCTGCTTCTTAAGTTTATGAGTTTTTAAATGTGGCCACCACATTCAGAAGAAAAGTAGAGTAAGTTGCTGCTTTGTAGGCCAACAGTACTTTTTCCCTAGTATGTTATTTATTTGGATCCTTTCCCGGTTTAGCAGCAGTTCCTCAGATAATTTCAACCTATCAAAATGGATAGAGTAAAAGTTCCCCTTAACACCATACCAGTTATTACTCAAAGAAGATGATTGTTTTAGACCAAAGTCAATTTCCTTGGGAAAATAATGAAAAACTGAGAATAGGCATCATGTAAACCTTAGTGGGAGAAATAACTAATACACTTTAAGAGAGTAAAGGGATTTACTTGCCACACAGCAAGGAAAGGAACTTTCTCAGCTCTGCTAGTCACTGTCCATGCATCCCTAAATTGTTACTTTTATTTTGTGCCAGTTATTCAATAAATACTGAATGTTTGCCATGTACCAGATAATTTTAAATTCTGGGAATTTAGTTGTGAACAGGTAAAGTCCCTATCCTCATGGAGCTTATGGTCTGACTAGAGAAGGCAAAACAGGTAAGTACATAATATATCAACTAGAGATGATCCTATGAAGTAAAATTAGAGAGCCCTGAGGGGGTAGAATATTGTACATACACACACATATAACATATGGTAGGTCATGGAAAACTGCTCCGATATGGTGACATGTGAGCAGAAACGAGAAAGAAGAGTAAGCCATTAGAGTATGTGAGGGATAAGCATTATGGGTAGAGGGAACTGCAAATATGGGAGATGTGCAAGGGAATGCTTAAGCATTTGAAGCACACTTCATGGTCAGTATTGCCTAGGGCAGAGTGACTAAAATGGAGAGGAGGAGATAAAGTCAGAGTGAGCCTGGTTGTGTATTGTTTCTGTTCAGGACTCAGTCCCCTTAATGGAGTAGACCACAGGGTAAATGAGAATCTTCTGCATTGGAGGAAAGTTTACTTTGACTTCTGGTGTAGGTTTAAAAAGTGTGAACCTGAGCTTCCAAGATTATTCTTGATCCTGTTCTTCTGTATATGTTAGGCAAAATGATGTCATTAATTTTTTTAAATAACTTTGGTATGAAAGTATTATGTGCTTGTGAAAATTTAAAACCCTTCAGGAAGGCTTGCAGTGTGTACTTTAAAAGTTCTTCACTAAATTCCCAGATATAAAACTACTGTTGGTAGTTTTTTGTGAATGTGTCTAATAAGTTTCTATATATATGCCTCTGTAAACACACATGTATATGTACATACATATACATTTCTTTTTTGTTATTCATGAAAGGGAAAATACAATGGTTGGTTTGACATCTTGGATATTTTACACTATTAGCACTTACAGGTCTGTCTGTTTAAAGGATACAGAGAATTTCATTATACTGATAGTTCATAAATTATTTAAATTGTCCCATATTAGTTGACATTTAGAGTGATTCCCATTTTTAGCTCTTTTTATCAGTACAGTAATGGATAGTCTTGTATGTGTGTATTTGGTGTCTTTCTAGGAAATCTGTAAGATAAATTTATAGAAGTGGAGTTGCTAGGTCAGTAGATCAACTAACATCTTTTAAACTTTTAATATAGACACATTAAATCATTTTAGTTTACATATTATAAAATAGGATCAGATTTTAATGATTTCCTCAGTAGTTAGAGAAGAATAATGTCTAAAAAGAAGGCTTGCTGTAGCTTTAACACTTTACTATTTTTTTTATTAAGGTATCATTGATATACACTCCTACGAAGGTTTCACATGAAAAACAATGTGGTTACTACCTTCATCCATGTTATCAAGTCCCCTGCCCATACCCCATTGCACTCAGTGTCCATAAGTGTAGTAAGATGCCACAGAGTCACTACTTGTCTTCTCTGTGCTACACTGTTTTTCCCATGATCCCCCCACACACCATGTAACCCTTTACATTTTAAACGTGGTGTTTGATCACTGAGGGTAGTTTTTGTGTCTAAGGTAAATTGTATGGATCTCTAAAATTACATTTTTAATGATACAGTACTGGATAAATGACAGCCTTCATATCATATATTAATTCCTCTCTCCAACATTTGGACTATTTTTGCCCTTTAAAGCTGTATCAATAAATCATGTATAGTTTTTTAAATTCCAGTGTCTTCTTTATCCAAAATTAAATGTTTTTTTATATGAAAGAAAGGTGAAGGTTTTTGTAGACTTGCGGTTTAGCTTAGCTGACTTATCTTTTTACCTCATTAACATTGTCTCAACATCCCTCTCAGACTTAGGTGTTTTATAAACTTTTGGCTGAAGAGGTGTATAAAAAGGAAATAATGTTCAATTCCCTGTGTGTTTTCACAAAACCATGTGAAAAGTGGAAAAATGAAGAGATGCCCCTTTAGATAAAATGAGCTTTCTGTATTGTTATTCCTAACATTGTCCCCTCTTAAGATGGCCTTATGCTAACTAGTTAGCCTGTTAAAATTTTGATATAGTAGAAGCCTAAATCTTTAAGCAAAACCAGCCCCTCTGGAAAAAGAATGTTTAATCTGATTCAAAATTATCAAAATGTTTACTTTTATAGAATAGAAAAGGCTATTTTCTCCTTTGTAAGTTTCTTTTGATTATTGAAAGAAGTTCAGTTCATCTTGGAAAGTATTACATAATAGAAAGTACACTTATCATACATATAACTTGATAGTATAACATAGGATTGTTAAATTCCAGAAAATGTTCCTGCTTCTAATTTTGTGCCTTTATAGTAAATGTATGGCCTTATGACATTTTGGAATTTGAGAAATAACGTCAGAACAGAATGAACTGCAATTTATAGTGAACACACACGTGTGCTCAAAGATTGCCGGATCCATCCTAAGGAATAAAAGAATTTATCACGGATACAAGTTAGGGCTCTAACAGCAATTGCCTTTGGTGGATTCGGTCTGTGATCTAGACATGTATTTGGTAAGATGATATAGCAAACTAACATGTTTGTCATAGAGAGAAATACTTGCTAAGCTTAAACGTTCTATCTTAAGATTAATTTTTTCCCTCCTTTAACAGGACACCTTACAGGAAAACATGAGAGACATTTCTCCATCTCAGGATGCCCGCTCTATCATAACCTCTCAGCTGATGAATGCAAGGTAATTGTACTCTCATTTAATTAGTATACTTATTGAGTGCTTACCATTTGCCAGGCACTTTGCTAAGCACTGGGGATACAGGGTGAATGAAATGGGCGAGGTCCTTGTCCTTACATTCAAGTGGAGGAGACATAATTTAAAAAATTGTGTTTTTTGAAAAACCAGTAGGACAAATAAAAGAATTATAGTATGTAATGAGTGCTCATTGATATTTCCCACTGATAATTGACTTCAAAGATTGCAGTGGACTTTTTACATGAAGAAATAATTTGCATAAATATGTTATCTCAAATTTATGCATTAGGTTCTTTTATAGATCTGTGAAGACATTTTACTTTTTAATTGTTTTTGCATAATTCTTTTCCTTTTTCTCTATTTCTGCAGCATACTTTTCCTTTTGTTACCCTCATCCACACCGACTCTTGGGATAATGAATTTAGGAGTAGAGCCTAAGATCCTATTTTTTATGTTCCTGTATGGGTTGCTGCTACCAAGGATGGAATCAGAAAACTAATTATGGGGAAATGAGTTGAAAATGTTACAGATAAAATGGTTTGCTCAGGTAGTATTTGGACAGGTCATCCAAGCTAGTTAGACCAAAGTATTCATTGTTTTTGTGGTATTTTTGCTCACAAGGCCAGGCTCACAGGTTTATTCTTGTCTGAGCCAGTTTCGTCCTGAGAAAAATTAGATTCCTAGCCAACATTAATTCTCCTTGACTCAGGACTGTGTTCTCTTATTACGAGTAGACCACAGAATGGAAAGTTTCTTTATGTATTTAGTCTTTCATCAACGTAGTATACCTTTAGTACTTAGGTGGATTTTAAGGTCAAGGACTTTTCCTCTTATTTTTGCTCGTTCCAGATCACTTATTTAAACAAGGCAGTTTCTTCTACTCTGTATAAGCATAATTGGTAGGTCTTCCCAGTGTCTTCCCATTAGTCTGAGACCAGACCAAAACGGGAACAGCTCTGCCATCATCTGTATCAGAAGCTGACAAGGCATTAGGTCTTTCTTTCTCTGAAAATAACTGTGATCTCTTGTCTTTTGAGGGTTCTCTACCTCTTGTCTTTAACTACAATGATCTGATGCTGTGGATGGTTTTACATAAAAGTCTTCTAAGGTATAACTTTTAAAATTGTTGGCTTGTAGCAATATGAACACATTAACTTACACAACTTATTTTTTAAAAAGAAAAATAAAAATTCCAGTTTGGGGAAGGAAATTCTGCAGAAAGGAAAGCGCTTTCTGAATTTTTCTGCTTTTGTGCTCTTCTTTACAAGGGGAATCAGGCTTGGCATAATCCATCTTTACTGCTGGAACATGTGCTTGGAGGATCAGTAGAATTTCTGAAAGATAGACATCTTTGTTAACTCAGAATCTCAAATGGAAAGATTAGACGAATTCCTCACATTTATTAAGAGCTCTAGAGTTTTTAAAATATTTGCATGTACATGATTGCTCTGAGTTTCCTGGTAGACAACTACCACTAGTGATTATTACCACTTTTATCCAGTCGCAGATGTCTGTGATTGTGTGCCAAACACTGTACAGGTACCTGAGGATTTTGTGAATGAGATAAAAGACTGTATTCAATGAGCTTATATTCTCATGCAGGAGGCAAAATCAACATTATAAGTTAAAAAGTAAATAACAGTTCCATGTAATGATAAATGCTGTAAGGAACAAAAAGACTAAAGATATTAAAGATAACTAAAGACAATGACTGTTTTGGGGGTGACGGGGGTATGGTGCTGCTTTTGGCATTGCTCTGAGACAGGGCTCACTGCAAAGAGGCAGTTGTGTCAAGATCTAGGAGATCAAAGCAGGATGAACAAGTGCAAAGGATAAACTGTTGGGTTTGAGTGACTGAAAGTAGGCTAGTGTGGCTGGAGCATGTGGAAGTCAAGGAAGCAGGATCTGGACCATGAAGGACCTGTAGACCTTGGCATAAGGAGTATGTTGCTATTCCAGTGTCAGCGGGAAGCATTTGGAGGGCTTTAGCAGACGCATGATACAATTTCATAAACACTTTTTAAAAATCACATCTTGCTAGTATATTGAATGGACTGGAGGGGGCAAGTATTGGCATAGGGTAGACTAGTTGGAAGGCAGCTCTGAAGTAGGTGGTGGTCAGACTAGTGTTGCATCCATGGAGATAGTAGGAATTGATTGGATTCAGGATGTTTTGGAGAAGAGCAGCCTAATAGACTTGCTGATGGATTTGATGTGAGATGTGAGAGTAAGAGAAGAACAAGGATGACATTCAAGTTTTCGACCTGATCAGTTGTTTAGAAAATGTTGCTGCTTATTGATACAGGGAAGATTTGGGGAGGAGCAGATTTATGGGAGGATGTGAGTCATTGAGTTTTGACCATGCTGAGTTTTAGTGTTGAAATTGAAGAAGAGGTTGGATATGAGTTCTCACTTCCCAGAAGGTGAAACTGAAACTGTTGGAGAGCTCATGTGATTTGTCTAAGATCGTGACTACAGTGTTGTGTTTACCTGTAGACTTGACCTGAGGTATGTCTTTTCTTTGTACTTCTTCACTCTGTTCTTTTACTTGCTCACACTGTTTCTAATCCATTGTACAGTGGAAAGAGTTCAGGCTCATAACCATCAGACTTAAACTCAGCTATATCACCATTTAGCTGTAATTATTTCTCTGATTCACAGTTAATTGCTGAGAAAACAGAATATGAACCTTGCTTTATCTGTTCTTATAGAGACTGTGATGATTATACCTGGGAAGACCCTTTGAAAGTAAAAGTACAAGAAAAATTCAAGGGATTACTACTGTATTCTTATGCTTTAAGTAAACATAGTCTTAGAAGCAGGTGGATTTATTGACATTGTTGATGGTTGCAGGTGAGAGCACAGAGCCGGGATAAGCAGATAGAAGAAAGGATGCTGTCCCACAGGCAAGATGACAACAACAGGCATGCAACCAGGCACCAGGTATGGGCCTTGTTAAAGCTCTGGCCGTTCAGTTTGAGAGCTAAGTCTTGGATGTCCCTGATCCATAATGGTCTTTAGGTATATCCATGCCTCTTGTTTCCTTGGTGTGTGTGAGTAACTGGGCTTCAGTCATAAACTCAGAATCGTAAGTGTTTTCTAAGCAGTAAATTTTCGTGAAACGAACACTTCTACCTCATAAGTGAAGGACTCATACTACCTTTAGTAATAGCAGTAGTAATGTAACTTATCGTTAGTTTCTAGACTAATAAACGCCCTAATATCAACATCTTATATTGCCTCATTTTGCCTCCAGTTTTTAACCCATTGTAATTTATCTTCAAACCCCTCCACTCTGCTGGTTTGTTCCCAAGGTATTGCCAGTGACTCGTGGCATTGGATATTCGCTGATTTACTTTTTCTCCTCTTTCTCTCTTCCCTTGGACTCTAAGATGCTGCTTTGCCCTAATCCTTCTGCCTCTCTAATATTCAAGCCTCTTGATTAAACACTTAATGCCTTGTTGCTCTCTGAGTGCCTTTGGTCTTTACTCTTGTTTTTCTGCCTACAACTCTGAACAGATACCGCGAAGAGATTGTATTTATCCTTCAAGGCCTTGTGCAACTCTGAGCTTTTGTAGGAATTCTTTCCAAATCTTCTCCTATCGTTAATGAATTTCTTCCTCATGTATTCCCGTTGTCATGTTCTCAGAATGTTAGTTTAGCCCTTGTCCCAAATGATGTGTACTGAGCTCATCATACGGATGTCTGTTTCTGTGGTTAGATTATAGGTGGCTAGCAGAGGAAGCATGATGAGGGAGAAGTTTGGCTTTGGAGTCTAGCAGATCTGGCTTTGAATACTGTAATTTGAATACTGTTATTCTAGCTGTGTGGTCTTGGGCAGGCCAGCTACTCCGTGAACTTCATTTCCTTGTTAATTAAAAGGAGTGAATAACACCCACCTGGCTGGATAGTTAGCTAAATTATGTATATCAAGTACGTATCCCCAGTGCTTGGCAGGTAATAAGCATTCTAAGTGGTAGCTACGCTTGTCTATCTTGGGTTCTATTCTTACCCAGTTCTTAAATTTTTATTCATTTTTGTGTCAAGACTTGAGAATAATAGTAAGCATTCAATAAATGCTTATTGAATTGAAATGATCTTTTATTCCTGTTGCTTTGGTGGACACTTACCTCCATAATCTGTCTTCTGCTTGGGTTAATATTAAGTGCATTACTGAACCTGTATTAACTGACTGTAAGGGTAGTGATCTGGGTGTTGAGGTAACCCAATTTGGAATTTTAAAGTTGCCATAGTGTTCACAGGGTGGTTGTAACATATCTGGCATTTTTTTTCTTCCTCATTTTTTTTTTGGTTACCTTCATTTTGAAATTTAATTGCATAATGAGTTTTATAGCTATCAATCTCAGTTTTCTCCATTTTCCTTGTAGGCACCAACAGAGAGGCAGCTTCGTTATAAGGAGAAGGTGGCAGAACTCAGGAAGAAAAGGAATTCTGGGCTGAGCAAAGAACAGAAAGAGAAATACATGGTGAGAAGTTGTTCAGTATTTAATTAGCATGCACACTTGATTCCTTTTGGTTTCTAAGCTTCTGCTTTTCAGATTTGCCATTTCTTATTCTCTACATGTATAAGGACACTTGCCTGGCCATTAGAGTTTACTAGAATCCTCTAAAACTCAGTTGTTAAGAGTGGAAACTGGAAGTCTATAAAAACAAAATACTGTAAGAATTTAGATTAAAAAAATACAATACTGTAGTTGCTTATAAACCTCACTTTAGTTTTAAAGGGTTAAATTTACCCCCTCGAACAAATACCATATCAGAGATGCCTGTATATAGGAAAAATACTCAAGCTAAGCAGTAGTGCACTTATTTTAATGGAAAAATAAAATTCCTTTGTAATAAAAAGTATTAATTGGGTGATAAATGTTCTATAATCTTGTAATTTTTTTTTAGTATTAAAAGTAATGCACACTTATAACAAAAAACATGGAACAATTAAGAAAGTATACATAGAACAGTTAAAAGAAATAAACATCAGTCCTACTACCTAAAAATAACCACAGTTAGCATTTGGGGATATATTGTTCTAGCTTTTTACATAATGCCTTGTTTAGGTTAATTTGGATATTACTATAAGAACAGCTTTGAATTCTTTGTTTCAGTTAAATATTTTGAACTTTCATTTCATTAGAAATTCTTCAAAATTTTTTAATGTAAATCTTAAGTAAAGACTTATTTTATTATAAATGTGTTAATAAACACTATTGACAATACCAAAAAAATTACTGTCCAAGATATAAACAACTGTTAAAATTTTGGCATATGATGTCTGTCTTTTTCTTATGCTTATTTTTATTTTTTCATGGAGTTGATGTATTTGCTTATTTAGTCATTAGAATAGATTATTAAAAGTGTGATTTGTGAATACTTAGCATGGTTTCACTAAGACAAAATATGCCAAACTATGTATTTACTTTTTTGGTAGTCACCACTGTCTTGTAAATGATAAGTGTACAAATAAATGGAAATGTGCCAATGTGAGATGGGTGGTGGTTGTGGGGTGAATTTGTAACTAAACACCAGTATCAGATTATGTTGGGTTTGTAGAGGGAAGGCTCTGGTAGTGGGCTGTAGGGTGCAAGCTTGTATGAGTCCTTGTCCTGTTCAATGTTTTTATCTACAAATTGGGTAGAAGTGTAGGAATAACCTGATAATGGCGTTTATTGAGTGCTCGTTTGCTAGGCACTGTGGTTATGTCACTCCTGCAGTCTTTGTACAACCCTATATGTGGATGATGTTTCACTTATTTTTTTTTAGATGAGAAAACTGAAATTTAGATAGGTAATAGGTAATTTGCCCAGAAATTATACAGGTAGAAAGGTTGTCTAAAGTACAAGGTTCTGATGAAACTTATTTTACGAACATCTGCTTTTACATCCAGTAATTTGGGCTAGGTTATTTGGACCCAACCTGCCTGGTAAAAATGATGGATACAATTTTTTTCAAGCTTTAAGAGAAAAAGTTTATGAAACTAGAAGAAATAACATACTTAAAACCTGAATCTCTGATGATAGAGTCCAAATTCAAGAGACATACATCAAATGGGCCCAGGTTAACTTGAAGAATTTTAGTGAGGGTAACAGTACTGGTGAATGGTTTCTTCATATGCTAATAAATATGTGAAATCTATCATGTCCTTCCTGTAATGAGCCAGCCACTCCAGTTAACGACCATCATCTTCTAGTCTCTGGGTTGGAGGTGGAGACTAGGACAGAGTGGGAAGGGCTAGAACCAGAGGTTTAAAAGGGAAGTTACCTTTGTGGAATTTCCTGTGAAACGACAGAGTGATTGCCATGGTAAGATTTGATACTTAAAACTGTATCATTTTCATGCTTCTAATTTTCTGTGACTAGTCCCTCTTGTCCTTGCTCAATATTTAGTAAAACATTTTTTAAAGAGGCCAGACTGTTTTTTTGTATGCACTTGGGCTGGAGTTCAAAAGTGGGAGCATCCCACCTTTGGGTAGACAGGGTTAAAGTGGGTACAGCAATTCAAGTGAAAGAATTTATGAAGGGCTGCTTAGCCTAGCTGCCTCTTCCTACCGGCATGTTTCTTGCAGTCTAAAATCTTGGACTATAAGGCTTAGAGATTTTGTATTTTGCTTTTAAAAGGGGAGTATCCACCCAGTTTCTTTTCCAAATCTCAGATTTCTAAGAATTTGTAATGCCTTTGGGTTTGCTATTTATTGGTACTGTCATGCACATTTTCAGTGAGGCAATGGAAGCACAGAGTCTTGATTCTGGAGGTGCTTATTTAGAGATAGAAGAATGAAAAACTCCCCTTTGAAGTTGTAGGAGTATTTCCTTTCCTGATTCACTAGGGTGGATAGTGGGCGTCTTCTGGCGTTAATCTGTTGAATAGTACGTCTTGTGCTCAATCCCTAGTGCTAGTATATTGCAGGGCATATAGTAGGCATTAAATAAATAGCTTATCGTTGTGCTTGCCCTATGACTGGCATTGACTGAAATGAAATAGATGAAGTTCTCAGAAGCAGAGAGAAACATGCTCTGGTTGTTTTCCTAGGAACACAGACAGACCTATGGGAACACTCGGGAACCTCTCTTGGAAAACCTGACTAGCGAGTACGACTTGGATCTTTTCCGAAGAGCACAAGCCCGGGCTTCAGAGGATTTGGTGAGAAAACCTCCAAGCTCAGGACCACTGGGAAGGGTGCAGAGAACTTCGAAGGAAACGATTAGCAGTCAGTTTGATGGGAGTCAAAAGGGCCTTGCTGATTGAATCTCTTTTCCCTTCCCCCAGCTCTCCTTTATGGAGGCTGTTCTTCTTCCCATTCATATTTAAAATTAATTACCCTTCCTCGTTGTCCCGTGGTTTTTCCCTCTCCAACCCAACTCCTAGAAGGACCTGTTCGGTGCAGGTGTTGAGGCTAGGTAAAACAGTAGGCGCCCCTTTGTCTCAGTTGGGTAATTTGCAACTGAGAGCCTCTAGAACTTGGGAGGTCTACCTTCTCTCTGTGGTCCCCCACCCAAAGGAACTCGCCCTTGCTGGATTTCCTCAGCCCCTCAATACAGCTGTAAAAGAATAAAGAGAACATTGAAGAGGAGTAATGGAAAAGGCTGTAGTAGTCAGATATTTTAGAGTTAACCTTTGATGTTTTATATATCCTTATATTTTTGTATATTAAGGTGGTTTTCTGTTTGGGTTTTTTGTTTACTGGTAGTTCACACTGGGTATTCATATCCTAGGCAGAACTGTCAGCAATTTTACAGCTGAAAGGCCAGATCACAGAAGGGAGCAACATTATTAATCTGCGTTAACAGATTTAATGTGTTCAGGGAACTTAGTTTGTAAAGTGAATCTTACCTTCCTTTCTTTTTCTTTAATATTAAATACTTTATTTTAAAATCCTCACATGGCCTTGTTGAAAACATTTGGGAAGCAGGGTTTGACAGCTGCCCTTGGCTAGGATGGGCTGGCTGTGCCGTTTTTCCGATGCTCAGGAACCAAGCATATCCTAGGCCAGCCTTTCACAACTCCCCACCTGGTGGTTATGCTTAAAAATTACTCCTGTAGCCAGTTCATAGCCACTGAGTAGAGATAGATATCTAAAAATATTTTGTACTTACAGAGTTTAGATTCTAGAATTAACGTGTCGTCCATGTTTCAAAAATATTTTTAAAGAACCTAAATTGAGACAGTGACCATGTATATCCATGGATATATGTTGCACAGATCCACAAAGCTTTATAAAAGCTTCTGAAGATGAGTAGGGCACATTCTAAGTAATCTTCTGTTTAGCGTTAGAATACTTTGTAAAGGTAGGGAGTTTGCATTTGTGTTAGACTGCCTTTCATAATGCAGTTTGGTGCAGGCTAGTGAAAACAAAATTTTGCCAAAGATTGTTCTGATATACGAGAGGTCAGGCCCAGAGTGTGGTAGGGAGCCGAGAAAAGCTTTCTATGAAGACCTGTGCTCTAGGTGATATATACAGTAATTTTCCTAGAAGCCTTCCAGATTACACATGCCCAAGTAAGCCTTCTTTAGTGTAAATTTCTCATGAATTAGAAGCCAAATCTGTGTGATTTTTTTTTTCATAGCCTACTTTGACGACAGGCACACAAGTTTACTCTACAGGCTTTTGAAAACAAAGATGATCGATTCTAATCCTCCTTTGACTTGATTGATTCTTTACAATAGGAGAAGTTAAGGCTGCAAGGCCAGATCACAGAGGGGAGCAACATGATTAAAACAATTGCTTTTGGTCGTTATGAGCTTGATACTTGGTACCATTCTCCCTATCCTGAAGAATATGCACGACTGGGTCGTCTCTACATGTGTGAATTCTGTTTAAAATACATGAAGAGCCAAACAATTCTCCGCCGACACATGGTGAGTTGTCTGGGGTTCCATGACGGTGATGGTGATAAACAGTGGAATCTCTAGGTTTTGGCCTCTGTCTAAGCATCTCTATGATCTGCAGCAAGGGGATGAAGTCATAGGAAATTGAAATCATAATCTTTGTACAGGCTGGTGCGGAGTGGCGCTGAAAGCAGCTGCTGGCTCTTAGCTGCATCCTGTCATATACATCTTGTCTTGTTTTCTTTTGCTTCCTGCTCTTTTCCATTTCTTCCTTGGGATGTAAATTACCTCTGCTCACGGTATTTTTTTGTCTCAAACTAGATGAAAATAGACTTTGTTAGATGGGGCAGGGACATCGTGACTAGCCTTTGTATCCCTAGCAACTAACACAGGCAATAAATGACCAATAAATGTGTGTTGAATGAACACTTAAGGGAGATAAATGATTAAATTAACAAAATGGGTCCTTTGGTGCCTTCTTCTCAAGTTGTCTTATGCTTTCTGGTTTCTGAACATTCTTATTAAAATAGGAGTAAAAACTTGAATTTGATTTTATTGTTGACAGCTAGGCTTACTAAATATTTTGTAGCTTTAAGCCATTTTTCTTGCCCTACTTAGGGAATGAAAAGTCTCAAAGAGAATTTCTGCCAAAGAGAAGGGGTGGGGAAAGGGAAGGGGTAGAAGTCAGTCCTTTCTGACAGGGGAAACCTTTCTTTTTTCCTGTTTCTGTAGGTCACAACAGAATTTGGCTCCAAGGCCTTTTAGGGTGTCTTCTTCCTTCCCTTTCCCTTTATTTCCCAGATTTCCCATGGTTGCTGTCATTGTACTCTTCTCTGCAGTTCGGTGTTACCTCCCTTCTTGTGTTCCCAACTCTGGAGCACACAGTCCATAGCACTGTTGCCCAGAACCACTCCTGTGGATTAAGCCTTTCAGACTCCTGCACACTTGACTTGGGGTGGGGATAGAATGCTGAGGGGAGAGGTGACAGGTGGGGACACGAGTGCACAGGGAGGGATGGGATGGTGTCAGAAGGACTGGTCTCCATAATTGTGGATCATGGAGAGAAATCAAAACATGGTTTTGTTATGTGAAAGGAAGACTAGTATTCTTAATGATGTGAACTGCTATCCCTTTTTCTTCTATTTTGTTTCTACTTATTTAGTGACACTAACCAATAAAATAGTCAAAAATGGCAAGAAATAGTAGTAGGTGGAGAAAATGGAATATGGGTGAATCTGAGGGTCAAGTAAACATTTCAAATATTTGAGAGTCTGCTGTATTATGAATTACATAAATTGAATTTCAGGGAAAAAAACCTATTTTAATTTATACCTGCTCTGGTTCCTATTGCTTCAGGTGTGATCACTAAAATGGACTGCCTTTGGCCATGTGACCAACATCTTGGCTTCTGTTTCTAAAGAAATGATTGCTGTGTTAGTTGGGTTATTGTTGGAAAGAGCCAGCATGAGTAAAGGGTGGAGATAGGAGCAAATATAGGTGGAGCTTTCCTGAAGCAATTCCAGTTAATAAATATTTGGATCTACATGTGACAAATGGGACATGATTCTTGAGTTGACTGAAAGTCACAATAAAGTTTAATAAAAATTGCTCCATATAAATTTTCTTTTTAAATTATATTTTTAGGTAGATTTACATAAAACTTTCAAGAATTCACCTATTTACAGCAATGGCTGACTGGCAACATTACATCTATTAGCAGTTGAGGGTGAGGAAAGGGATACCTTGTGCCCCCTTGTGGCCAAGTGCTCCCGAGCTTCCTGCTGCTCAACCAGGCTCTGCCTTGGCCTTTTTTTTTTTAGCTGCAAAAGATTTACTCTTATTTCCTTACATAACAAAGGGGGAACGCTGTTGTGGGGACATGGCATGGTTTTTATTGTTGTCTTTTTTCTAATCTGAACAAAGGAGAGTCATAACTGTTATAATGGTAAGGAGAAGTTTCTGGTAAAGGTGAGAGTGAAGTACTCCTACCTTTATTAAGCAGTGAAATATCCAAAGGCAGGAGTATTTTACTCTCACCTTTACCTAGCAACTCTAAGCTGCTGGGAATAAGCTGCTTAAGGATTTCCTGTTGCAAGGCATTTCATAATAAGGTTTTTTTTATTTATATGGCTTTTACATAGTAGATATTTTTAATCTCCTGGGTTGAAACAGTGCCAGCATATAATCCAGAAAACGTGTTCCAAACTGCTGTCAAAATACCGTAAGTATATTGCAGTGACTTTAGAAGACTAATTGTTCTGAAAACAAAAAATGGCTCTTTTGCTGTGTGTTCTCAAGTGTGTCCAACTGTCTGTCCTCTCAGCTAAATTTAACCTGTGATTCCTTGCCCTTTGGAGCAGCAGCCTCATTTGTAAGGTTTGTTTCCCTGATAGGAATTCCATTCTTTTGCAGGCCAAGTGTGTGTGGAAACACCCACCTGGTGATGAGATATATCGCAAAGGCTCAATCTCTGTGTTTGAAGTAGATGGCAAGAAAAACAAGGTAAAAAAGTGGTGTCATGAGAAAGGCGGGTGGTAGTGGTGTACGTTAATAGGTTTTAGAAGGAGCTTGTTTTGTCTCCATCTCACCTTGTAAAGAAGGTAGAACTTCTCTGTTAGCCAAAATATACAATTTCTGCTTTATTAACAATAATGGTATGATCTTTAATTTTAGGCCTTTATCAGATAAGTGTAGGAATCAGTGGCCCATGCACAAACTCTGTTTCTCTGCTTTCTCAGATCTACTGCCAAAACCTGTGCCTGTTGGCTAAGCTTTTTCTGGACCATAAGACATTATATTATGATGTGGAACCCTTCCTGTTCTATGTTATGACAGAAGCGGACAACACTGGCTGTCACCTGATTGGATATTTTTCCAAGGTCAGCAGGATCTGGAGATTAAGAAGTAAATGGCCAGAGCAGGTTGACTGACATTGGCATATGGGGACCCAAATCATTGACAGGAAGAGGCTGTACTGTGGGCAATGATGACAGCCCTTCCCTTTTGAAAAGGGGCGGGAGGGGGATGGTGGAATCTATGTATCAAAGATTGTTTAATGAAAATGTGCAATTCTTTGTTAAAAGCTGGTTTATTCATTTTTAGGCTTGTGGGTTGGAGCTGCCAGTAATTACTGGCCAGGGTCCTGCCTGCTAACCCATAAGCCTGCATCTTGTCATGAGGCCAACTCTCCTGGCTTTGCCTTCCTCTATGTTATTAGCTTAAAACCAAGAATATATTCCTTTTGCCTGGTTTTCTAGCTGGGCTCCTTCAGCGATAATGCCACTGTGCCTTTAAAGACCTAAGGCCAGATTTTGCTTATGACTTTTTAATACAACAACTTCATTGAAGGGTAATTTAGATACCATACAATTCACTCACTTATCATGTACAAGTCAGTGGTCTTAGTATAGTCAGAACTGTGCAACAAGTTCATAGTCATCATAAGCAATTTTCGTTACCCCAATAAGAAACCCTGTACCCATAAGCAGCATTCCCTGTTTCCACTCGGCACCCCTCCCAGCCCTTGTTGTCTCTATATCTTTACCTGTTGTGGACATTTTATATAAATGGAATCATAGAAAATGTGATTTGGTTGGTTTTTGACCCCCTTCCAGAATGGGGACTTACTGTTGGGATCCCTCTCTTCTCCAGGAGGCAGCCCCCTTTTGAAAATTTGCTTTTAAAGAGGGTTGCTTTAGATTGACTCAGCGTCCTGAACCTTCTGGCCCTGCTCTGTGACTGTAAAGAATCCAGAGTCAGTCCCTTAAAATGCAACTGGAGGTCTCAGAGGTAGGCAGACCCTGGAATTAATGTCCATCGTGCAGGGTGTGGACCTAACAGCTGTGAGCCTGGCAGCCACTCCCTAGAACTAATTAGCCAGCTGCTTTACAATGAAAAAGTGGAGAAAACCTGAACATTTTCAGTCAATGTTATTTTGTGTCTGGGACTGCTGATACCTTTGGTTTCAAACCCTCATGACCAGCTCATCTCTTTGCTCTTCTTGGTTTTAGGAAAAGAATTCATTCCTCAACTACAATGTATCCTGTATCCTCACCATGCCTCAGTACATGAGACAGGGCTATGGCAAGATGCTCATTGATTTCAGTAAGTGAAACTGCTAAGTCCTAAGCTCCACAAGGCAGGGGCCATTGTTGTTTGTCTTTATGTTGTATGGTCCCTACAATTTCTGGCATATGGTAGTAACTACTGAATGAAAAAGTGGAGAAAACCTGAACATTGTCAGTCAGTCTGATGAACACTGAATACTCAATAAATACATGACCTTGAGGTGGTACCGGATAGTAGGAGAAGTAGAGGATGGTAAAATAAGCTCTTTAGTTTACTTGATGACAAGTAAAATAAGTCCAGTTTGAGACTTACAAACAGCACATTACATGCATAAAGCTTCTGATCAGTTCCTAGATGTTAGGGATTTCAGTTTTGTAAGCACTTACCTAGAGTCCATCAATATACCTGATAGATGCTTTGGGCCTCATTAATTGCAGATTCTGTTTGGGGAATTTGTCTACTCTCTAGGATTGATTTATAACCCCAAAATCAATATTCTTGGCACTTTGTAGTCATTTGTGGACATGCACACAGCAGCAAAAAAGTAAGTCTCTGTATTCCCAGCTTAAGTCAAGCAAGCGAGTGCCTTCTTTCAGCTAAGTGTAAATAAGTGTCCTGTGGTCTGTGGTGTCCACATTTTTGTATTTCTGTGCTATTTGTTGTTGATTTTTATAAGTGGCCCCTAAGTGTAATGCTGAAAGGCTGTCTAGAAAGGCTGTCTTGCGACTTAAAGAGAAAACTTGTGTTGGGCGGTTGTTCATGAGTTCAGTGTTAGTGGATCAGCAATATAAAATAAGGTATTAAACAAACATATAAAAACAAGGGAAGTCATCTCAACAGAAACCTTACAGGCCAGAAGAGAATGGCATGATATATTTAATGCAATGAAAGAGAAGGGCCTTGAACCAAGAATACTGTATCCAGCACGACTATCATTTAAATATGAAGGAGGGATGAAACAATTCCCAGACAAGCAAAAGTTGAGGGAATTTGCCTCCCGCAAACCACCTCTGCAGGGTATTTTAGAGGGACTGCTCTAGATGGGAGCACTTCTAAGACTAAATAGATGTTACCAGAGAAAATAAAATCACAGCAAAGGAAGCAGACCAACCAAATACTAACTAAAGGCAAAAAATAAAATCAACTACCCCCAAAAGCAGGTAAAGGAAGCACAAAAGAGCACAGAATAAAACAACCAACATATAAAGAACGGAGGAGGATGAATAAGAAGGGAGAAAAATAAAGAATAACCAGACAGTGTTTAAAATAGCTCTATAAGTGAGTTAAGTTAGGCAGTAAGATACTAAAGAAGCTAACCTTGAACCTTTGGCAACCACGAATCTAAAGCCTGCAATGGCAATAAGTACATATCTTTCAATAATCACCCTAAATGTAAATGGACTGAATGCACCAATCAAAAGACACAGAATAATAGAATGGATAAAAAAGCAAGACCCATCTCTATGCTGCTTACAAGAGACTCACCTCAAACCCAAAGACTATAGGAATAAAGAAAGACTGAAGGAACAAAACAGCAGCAGAATCATAGAACCTAAGAATGGACTAACAGTTACCAAAGGGAAAGGGACTGGGGATAAAGGGAGGGAAGGGAGGGATAAGGGTGGAGAAAAAGAAAGGGGACATTACGATTAGCATGTATAATGTGGGGGGGCGCATGGGGAGGGCTGTGCAACACAGAGAAGACAAGTAGTGATTCTACAGCATCTTACTACACTGATGGACAGTGACTGTAATGGGGCTTGTAGGGGGGACTTGGTGAAGGGGGGACCCTAGTAAACATAATATTCTTCATGTAATTGTAGATTAATGACAACAAAATCAATTAATTAATTAATTAATTTGAAAAAAAGCAAGGGAAATCATTTAGTAATTGGTTGATGAAAATGTGACCAGAGGCTCCTAGGAACCTAACCCTGTAGTTTTTCCAAGGAGCAATAGTTCAGTGTTTTCAATGACTTTATAGACCATAACTACTATAAATAGTGAGAATCATGTATTTTATTCAATGCTAACTATATAACATAGTAGTCAAAGTTAGAATTCTTAGAACTAGTCTCCTAATCCTTAATTTTTTAAGCCACCTGGGAAGGAATGAATCAGGAAGTGGTGTAATATACTGAGAGTGGGGGTACTGTGTATCTTTGACTAGGTAATAGTATTTTATAAACTGGATTTTATGGAAATTTTGAAACATAAAGTAAAATAATTGTATAATAAAGCCCCTGTAATAATCACTATTTGTTTTTACCTATATTCTCACCCTCATTTTGATAATATCTCTAAAAAATAAGGTCTATTACACCTAAAAACAACTCAGAAAATCCCTCAATATCATAAATTATAGCATTCAAATTTCCATGATTTTGTTCTTTTTTTTGAAAGAAAATTATTTTTGGTAGGTGTGGCTTGTAAACAACTTTGAAAGCTCCCACTCTTAATCCCTTTCTTTTTTTCTTTGCTGTTTATTGGAGAAAACAGGTTGGTTTTCTGCATGAGTTTCCCAGAGTATAAATTGTGCTGGCTGCATCCCCATAGTGTGGAATGTTACATGTTTAGATGTTATAACTAGAGGCTCATGAGATTCAGGGGCCCCTTCCCCAACTACTTTATAGTAGTATTGAGATAATCTATTCCTAAAATTCAAAACATTTTGAAAAATATAAAAAGTTGCACAGTTGACCCTTGAACACAGGTTTGAACTGCCTGGGTCCACTTGGATGTGGGTCTTTTTCAATAAATACATTGGAAAAAATTTTTGGAGATTTGTGACAATTTGAGAAAACATTTTTTTATTGTAGGAATATAGTATACAATGCATATACAAAATATGTTTTCACCAAATATTATCAGTAAGGCTTCTGCTCAACCGGATTTAAGTTTCTGGGGAGTCATAAGTTGTATGCAGATTCTCTATTGTGCAGTGGGCCAACACCCCTAACCCCCTTGTATTGTTCTTGGGTCAGTTGTATAATGAAATGGTTTCCCATCTCTGTTCCCATCTACCCTTTCCCAACGTAGACATATAAATAATCAATGTTACTGTTTCTAGTGAAGCCTTCCAGAGTATTTTAATGTCTACTACAAGTAAATGCAAATACACATTCTTCCCCTTTCATTTACACGAAGGCAGCATACTATACAACAGCCACACAGTATTCCATTGAATGACTGAACCCTAATTGATATTCTAAAGCTGACTGTACTCCTTTAATCTTCCTTCATGTTGGCATATTGTTCTTTGCTATTAGGATAAGATACAAGGTCTGTATGTTTGTTCATGGCAGGTTATTTGCTTTCCAAAGTAGAAGAAAAAGTTGGCTCCCCAGAACGTCCACTCTCAGATCTGGGGCTCATAAGCTATCGCAGTTACTGGAAAGAAGTGCTTCTCCGTTACCTGCATAATTTCCAAGGCAAAGAAATTTCTATCAAAGGTTGGTTTTTGACTCTAGATGTTAACACCATTGAATATTCCAACTTTTCTACTTGGCCCTATTCATGCTTTGTAACCTGCAAAGATAATGCCCCATTCTGTGTTTCATCTGAATGTGAGAACAGAAGGCTCACTGAATTGAATATGGGCCACTGTAGAGACTCTCACTCAAAGGTTCCTAAAGATTCCAGAGCATTTGGCCCTTGAGAATGATTATATGACTTGGTTTTTCAAATCTGGGTCTACTAACACTTTAATTCTCAACAAGAGTCAAGAAAGAAGAAAAATTTAAATTTTTTTGGCACACACAGGAGCTTCTAAGATATCCATGTTTATTTATGCAAGGGTAGGAGAATTTAGTTTGGTTTGTCTTTGGCCTTGATTTCTGTAGAGGCCAAATCCCTTTTCTGTGTTTGGACTGGTCAAATGAATGCTTCCTAAAAGTTTTCTGAACATGCTGGGTTGAATATCAAAGATTCCAACCATTGGGAGTCCATTTGGATTTCCTGTAAGGGAAGGTGGGCCACAGTAGGGGGTTGGGAGTCTACACTTTGGCCAGTTTCTCAGTAACTCTTCTGTTCCAGAAATTAGCCAGGAGACAGCTGTGAATCCTGTGGACATTGTCAGTACTCTGCAAGCTCTTCAGATGCTCAAGTATTGGAAAGGAAAGCACCTAGTTTTAAAGAGACAGGTAAAGTTTCTGTCAGCTGCTTGTTCATTGCTGAATGCTCCTTGAGGTTTAGGAGAGCAAAATGGGGCCTTAACACCCAAAAGGTAGCCTTTCCTTTTGAAAGGAGTTCCTTTCACTTGGTCTCATTTCTTTAGCGTGCAGTCATGCCTTTGTTAGGCTTATCTCCTCCTTATCCTCATCTGAAGCTTAAGTAAGTTCCTGTCTCAGCTTTGGGTGACGCAAGCTAAGCAGCTCCAGTTAAGCAGCTTTTGTTTGGTACAGCACTTCTGTCTTTTGATGATTTTCTTAGATGGGAGAAAGTTGTCCATCTGTAGAGGAGAATCTTCATACATCCCAGGGTGCTCAGAAGTGCTTTTAAGTTCCTTTAACAAATGTCTTCTCAACTCCTAACCACTTATTAACAGTTTCTGTTAGTTGACTGATTATTCTCAGTTCTTACTGAGGACATTGTAGGAAGAAACAGATTAGATTGAAAAGCACTTTATAAATCAAAAGATAATTCTTTTTACACCTATTTTATACTTTAGTCTTTTATTGCACCTTGACAATTCTTTCTTTGCTGACCGTCATCTTGGAGTCCATGTATAAAGACATTTAGTTGAATGTCTGTAATAATTTTTACTATTGTTTTCCTCCAGGACCTGATTGATGAGTGGATAGCCAAAGAGGCCAAAAGATCCAACACCAATAAGACCATGGATCCAAGCTGTTTAAAATGGACCCCTCCCAAGGGTACTTAAAGGGACCTGGTACTCTGAGCCAGCAAACCCCAGCAGTAGGAATCTGTACCCTAGGGATCTGTCTGTCATTTCTGTTGCTCTTGTGATTGGCAAGTACAGTATCCTATGGGAAGGCCATCCCCTCAGGACTGTCCTGGCTCTGACCTTCATGTACACTGCAAACGCTGGTTCTGAGGAACTGTTGTTTCGGCCTCAGTGAGGTTGCCTGGATGGGACCTATAGTAGACTTGAGTGCAGGTCCCGTATAGCACTGGCCCAGGTGTTCTGTTTGGTACTGTACCTGTCCAGTCACTGGTTCTCTCCTCGTGTTCTCTAGCCCCATGAGGTTGTGTTGTGTCTCCTAGACTTTGTAATAGTGCTTCTTTCTGCCAGGTCACCAGACCTCCAAATACGGTTGCCACTACCAGGACCTTTGTAGTTGTTTCCTACATGTGCTTTTGGAGGGGCAGGGAAGAGGTCACACTCTGAGTGTGTGTGTACTGGGAGGGGCCAGTTCCCTTTGGATGTCATCTCACTTCACATTTTTTTCCTCCACTTCATTGAAAGACCAGTTTTTGATCAGTGTCAGGTTGACCAGAGCCAAATACTTATGAAAGTGCCCAGGCCCCGGGGATTAGTCTTGGTAATAGCACATAATCTGTCTGAATGAGGTGGAGAGAAGAATTACAAGGTTGTGATTGTGCGTTTTGATTTGGGTTCACCTGCGGGCAGTGGGCAGTGTCTTGGTGGAAGGAAATGAATTCTTTTTGTCTCACTAGAGAGTGCCCGATAGTAACCGTTTTCTTCTCTCCCAACTCCCTGCCCCTTTTTACATTTGCAGGTGCCAAAATAATTTCCAGTTCTCCCTTTCATGCTGCATGTTAACTGGTTAATAATACTGCAGAAACCTTTTCACCAGTACCAGTCTGATAGAACCCACCTATACCTCCACATAAGTTGCATTGATTTTTGTCTGAACCTCCTCAGAGAAGTAGAAAATGCTTGGAAATGACTTCTGTATCTCAGCCCATGACTCAGCAAGGCAGAACGGCCACCCCTGCCAAGGTTTGCTTCTCGTACCAGTGCCTCCCCCTCCCTGCAGGACTAACATGCTGCTGCCCTTCCGACAACTCCTCCTCCATTTCCTCTTTGGGATTTGCCACCATCCCCCTATCTCTAGTCACCTATTTTTGGTGGTGTTCAAGAGAAGGAAGAGATGCTCCCTCTAATTTCTCTCTGGCCCATTCTAACCTGCTATCTTGGGGCAGCTTTTGATGTATGACATGTCGCCCTTCCCAACGTGGTCTCCTACAGCACCGCTGTCTTCATGTGGAGCCCTCACCACAATCCCGACTCTGGTCATTTGTGCCTTTCTCTTGTCATCTCTGTACACTACTTATATTCACTGTGGGCTGGGGGGAGCTAATTTTAAGCATGTTAAGTGGCTGCTCCCTGCCAGTTTCAGTGTCACTGTTAAAATTTATCCAAAAGCAACTTCATTGGGGGTTTTCTTGAGGGGTGAAGGCCTTTTACAGAAGCCAGCCCTTCCCCACATGTGATAGAAGTGCTGTCCTAGAGCTACTCCTCAATAAAGCATGTTCTCTGCTCAAGTCTGTTTCACCTGGGGGCTCTCATTTATATCTGAAAATGGTGCAGCTGACTGCTACTCATAGTAAAGGCACTTGGGATTCATTTTCCCAGCAGTAATCTGACTGTTGAGGGATGGATGTAGTTTGTGACTGGAATTTTTTTCCCTCTGTAATGCAGGCTATCCATAGAGAAGTGTTCACACTGAACTTGTCTAGTTGGGGGGATAAATTCTCTCTGCCTCACTTTGGTTCCAGTTAATAGGGGAGCATAGCAGTGACTAATCATGACTCTTTATTCTTTCCTCAAGTTTATTTTCCTCTGATTCCAAGGGCAAAGGAACAGCAGGAAGTTAGGGTAGGTGTGGGTACAGTCTCTTTGTTGGAGTGATGAGAATGTTCCTTCTCATCTGCAAGCTCACGTGCCAGTGGTGATCAGTGCCCGCTCTAACCATTGACTCCTCAGGTTAAGATGACTTCTAAAAGTAGCTGTAGTGATTATCCAGTACAGGAAAAGGGAGGCCAGGCACTTACCTCTGTGGTGGCAAGGAGGAGGCTGGAAATTGTATCTGCTGGGGTAGTTTTGGTCTGTGGTCAATGGTAGTGAAAACCTATGCCAGTGGACAAACTTAGGGTCCTCCGTTGCAAGGTTAGAGTCCTTGTGTCACTTTGGGGTGGAGGGTGGGATGGAGAGAAGCTTAAGGTAATAAGACCTTTACACTCATCTTAGAATGACGTGTGCCAAAATCTCCCTGTTGTAGATATTTGCATCAAAGTGAAATTCTGTTCTCACATTTTGAAATAAAAGGAAGTAGGTAATGTGGACCATGAGAATAGAATGCCGAGAGGTCAAGGCAACAGAAGTTTTGTGCACAATCTGGATCCTAAGTCTCCACTGATTGTACCCCAGTAAAAATAAAAGGAAGATTTCTCTGGTTTAAATCTCTTCCAAGTCTGGGAGCAGAGTATTCACTGCCTTGGCGCCTTTGAATAAGACTCTATCTTCCCCTCTGACTCCTTTATATTCTCAAAAGAAGTTCAGCTCCTTAGGCTCCTTCATTAGGGGAGCAAAAGTCGAGTAATTCCTGAATCTAGCTTCTGAAACCCTCTAAATGGGAGCACTGCCCCATTTCCAGAAGAGAGCCCTGGCATGTGTAATAGCTTCCTGTTTGCTCAGCACTGTTCTGGGTACCCTCATACTGCCTCATTTGACCCTCATGTTAGCCCCTTGTGGTAGAAATCCATGTTGGTTTCACAGGAAACCAGAAGCCCAATGCGATGCTTTAAGTAATGAATGCACAAATCTCATTTTGGTATCTTCAACTTGAGAACCTAAACTTTCCCTCTATCGTTGCTTTCTCTGGCTTATTGGTTCCCTAAGATCATCTACTTTCTAGTTAGAGTTCCTCACTTCCCTCACAGGCTATGGGCCCCTATGCCTCTAGTGGCTTCCATTGCAAGAGTAATGGAACTGGTGAAAATTCTCAAAGAGTTGATTTTAGTTGATCCTAAGCAGTGGTTGGGGGCCAGAGATCTAGACATGGAAGCAAAAGATGAACTTCATTCTGACTCTGCCTGATTTAGGGACAAACCACTGAGTAAGAACTGTCCCTTTACTTACATGGTTTCCTTTAGTCCTCACTGCGACACCACTGTAAAGTGGGTATTGTGTCCCTTTTCCACATGAGAAAATTTGAGCCTCAGAGGTCTTGCTCCTGGGTTAGAGAAACAGCCCTGCTTCTCTGCTTCCAAACCCCATACTTTGGACAATGCTGTCATGAGTCATTTTCTGCCTCTGTGCCCGTTTTCCCATTTCTCATAAGGGGGAATAGTTGTATTAAGTGATTTTTAACAATAGGGTACACCCTTTGTATGGCAAGATGACGCTTTGACATATCCTCAGCTTGGTTTGTGTTTTTAGGCAGGTCACCTGGTAGGGTCGCGAATGGCCTCCCATGGAGTTCTGTGGAGCCAGATGGTTTAGATCAAGGTTGAAGCTACATAACGAAGAGCCAGACCACACAGCTTGCTTACAGTACACGTTACTTCTGGAATATGAAACAAAATGAAAAGCATTTTTCTGGTGTATATTAGTACCTTTTCAAGAGTAGTCTTAAACATACCTGCCTTTTCCTCCTCTGAAGAACAGTCGATAAGCCAAATGTTATGAAAGAAGTGCAGTTTTTATGGGAGGTGCTCGGATCAAGCGGCAAAACTCTCACAAGAGATCCTTATTCTTTTTTTCTTCTAACCTTTTGAGAATCTAACCAAAGCATATGGTCTTTGTTTTTTAAATGCGTATAATACAAGTGTGCACACATGTCTGCAATTGAGGAAATTGAGCCTTTGAAGTCCATTCCTTGACTGGAGTTATGAGGCTGGTTTGAGAGCTCCAAAGAGAAGGCAGGAATCTGCCTCTGCCTGCCCACACTCACCCCAAGGCTCTAAGCTAGTGTGCATGCAGACTCAAAGGCCAGGCCCCCAGAAGTGTGGTAAAACAACAGAGGAAGAAGGCCTGGCTCCCTGTGACTCTCAGCGTTAGTTTTCCTCCTGGCCTCACAGGTGAACACATACAAAATGCCGCACAGGGTTTTGCATGTTATGAGGATAAAGTGGAAACTCCTTTGCTAAAATGTAATGTATGCTAAGAATTCTATATACTACCTTTTGCGATTCACTGGGCTCATGGAATTACAGAATTGGACCTCCACTGGTTTTGCCCTAGTACTTTGTGCTGCAGACTTGTATGACTGCCTCTTCCAGACTGTTTCCTGCTGATGGGAACAGTATAATTGCCCACTTCCTCTGTGGTGTTTTCAACAGAATGCCAATGAATGGCACTAAGAAGGAAACGAAAGGACTGCCGTGTGGTGGAGGATGTCCTGGGCGCCGAAATACCAGCTTATCCCCGTGTATTACACAATAACTGTAGATGCAGGTCACGCTGCCACTGTTCTGGGGTTTGGGGCTTTGTTTATTTGTGCCCAAGAATGGAGAAAATGACCTGTGCTCTTGCACAACCTTGGCTCCATTGCTCTTCCCAGATGTTCTCTGAGATACAAACACCTTTATCCTTGACAAGTCATGTTCATTCCAAGAAGCCAGAGTTAACTGGGTGTTTGTTTCTGGAAACAGCTCATCTTATATTTACTAGAGTCCAAAGTCATTAGAAGCCTCTACATGCTTATCTCAAAAAAGAAGTGTGGTAGATCACCTCCAGAGATAGCCACCAACATTTCTTCCATCTCGTGTGTGCTGCTCTTTCCAATAAGAGATCTATTTCTCCCCCTTGGGTTTTTGGTCTGGGCTTTTGACTTGTTTTGACCAAATGAATATGGGCAGAAGTGATATTCTGGTAGCTTCCACTTTTGCTCTTGGAAACCAGCTGACATGTTTCCAAACCAGAAACGAGCTGAACCAAATAGCGAGGAAGCATGTGAGATACTAGGGGAGCTGAGATGTGGCAGCTGATAGGTCCCATCCTCCCGGCCAAATGCAGCCTCCTAGTGACCCCTGCTGACATCACATGGAGCTAAAGAAACATCCAGCTGAGTCCTGCCAGCCTAGAGAATCAGGAGAAATGCTGTCTGAAATCATTATTTGGGGCTTATTTGATACACAGCAGTGGGCAGTGAAAGAAGACAAGTGAAAGGGCCGGAATTCAATTTGGCCTTGTAGGTGCCATCAACTGATTCCCTGTAATTGGAATCCAGATGTGCCCAGAGGAGGACCACTGCCTTGTGTGACTCCAGCGGGGCACTATTCATATTCCACATAACGGCACCTTCAGAGCCCGTCAACCAGGATCTCAGCTGTTGGTCAGATTGCTTCTGAGGTCCCTGCTGGGCCTGAGAATTCTTAGCCACCTCCTTACAGAAGTGCATCAGGAAAAGTGAGGAATAGACTCTCAAGACATAGCTCAACACTTACTGCTCAAGAATTCATGTGGCTTCCGTTGCTCGTTGGATTAAGTTTGCATTCATGGTTATCCTGCTTTCATGTTTCCATGAAGTGACAATCTACAAGCTTCCATCATTCCCCTACTCAGAGCCTCAACATGCAGCTGCGTGCATCTCTGTCCCCTTTTCCTGTGTTTACCAGGCAAGCCTCCACTTCAATATTCCCCAAAGTGTGTCCTATTTGACACAAAATTAGTGTAGACAAAAAGGGTACAGTAGTCAAACATGGAAAAAACTAAGTTAAATATCAATACGTTCTGTGACTTCACTCAGGGCTTAGAGGGAGACACAGGATGTAACATTTGCTAAAATTATTTGCCCTCTAGTTTCTTGAGATGGCATGGTAAGGTCAGACTCTTGGAAGTTTCTTTCCTACCTATTGAAATGGTCCAGGTAAAAAGGAATTTCTTGTGAAGTCTTAAAATTCTGCCTGTGACTTGTCTGTAGGAGTGCAGCATAGACCAAGTAAATAGGGGAGTTGAGTGTGTTTGGAGCAAAGGCACCTTGGCTCAAGTCCTGGCTCTGCCATTTCCTGTGTGACTTCAAGCATGTGACCACCTCCTCTGCAGAGGAATAATTGTGAATGTCAGTTGTTCAGGAGACTGATAAACACACACTCATTTGTACACAAAAGATGCAGAACTTGCAACGTCCCAGAGAGACAGCTATTAAATGCATATGATTTCCAAATGTGATCAGTGCTGCTAAGGCACTGTGTGTGAGCATAGCTGGAGGGAGCTAGCTGAGCTTGGTTATCAAGGAAGCCCTGTCTGAGGAAGTACCTTTACCCTGGGACGTGAATGATGAGTTGGCCCCCGGAGGCATGGAGTTCCTGGGGCAGCGTGCAGAGCCCAAGACAGGCAGGCTCACGGTGTTGGTGAGGGTCTGAAGAAGCCTGGTGACAGGAAGGCGGCTAGGATGGAAGGACCAGAGAGCCCAGGGCTGTGGAGGCCTGACAAGAGTGTCAGATTTATCCTAGGAAACATCTGTGGCCAGGAGGAAAAAGGCTGTTGTGTGCGTGGAGAGTGGACGGGGATGGGTCTGGCAGTAAGATGGGAGGAGGCAAGGATGTCTTTCAGGAGGTCGCTGCCCTCCAGGCAAGGGTGGATGGTGACAAGAAGATGAGTTTGAGATGCATTTTGGAAGAACCAACAGCAAGGGATATATTAGATGTGGGGAGTAAGGAGTAGAGGGCAATTCCCAGGCTTCTGGTTTGCATGGCTGCACACATGGAGGTGCCATTTGTGGGGATGCCATCGATGGCGAGGAGCTCAGTGTTGGGATATACTCAGTTTGAGAACCACAGGGTACGTGTTCAGTGAGCTGTGGCTGCTGTTATTTATTGCAGTCATTTGTATTAAGTTTGGCTTCCTCATGGCTCTCTAGAGACAGACTCTCTGAGGACAGGAAGTATGAATCCTTCGTCCAAACCTCCTCCAAGGACTTCTTACGTGCTGGGTACCATTGTTGTCCCTGGGTAAAGATAAGGGTAAGGTCAGTGTACTTGGGAAACCCTATTAAGGGGATAAACTTCATTATAACAGCATACATTAAGTGCTGTAATGGAAGAATGTTCAGGCGCTTTGGGAACTTGGATGAAGGTGTGACGGGGTAGTTCCCAGGAACTTGGGAAAGCTTTACAGAGACACTGACCTCTGAGTTAGAATTCGCCAGGATGGGAAGAGAATGGCATGTGCAGAAACCAGAAGCTTGAGGGAACACAGCGGGTTTGAAAGGATTGTTTGGAGCGGGGTGTGGCCTTTACACAGACTACATCTCAGGTCCCCTGTAAAGCCCTTAGGTCTTCAAGGACAAAGTCCAGGCACATGCTTTTAGGCTTCTAGTCCCAGCGAAGTGCCAGCACATGAGGAAACCCACTGAATATTTGGTGACTTTGTTCTTCAATGTACCAAACTTCAAACAAGAATGAAATCTTCAGTCGTCTTTGCTGATCCTTTAAGTTGGGTTATCACAGTAACCGCAGCACTGTGGGGCGGGGATCAGTGGGGAAGGGTCCAGGAGTTCCTGGTGGGTTAGAGGTTGGAAGTGGGCAGAATGGGCATCACATTAATGGGGAAATCTGCAGTAGTGTCAGGAGAAGACTTGCTCCATCTGCCCCTCCTGTCCTCACTGGACACAGAGGTGTGAGAGTGAAGACATAAGAGCCCTAAGGTTTGTGCAGGGCTCACAGTGAACCATCAGTCTTAGGAGAGAAACTCACTACAGGTCAAACAAGAATCTTACTGGTGTGCTGACACCATCCAGCCTCAGCTATCACAAAAACCTTTCCCAGGATGTAGATGAAGGCCTGTCCTCTCCCACTGCCACCTTCCCCTCCTTTTAAACAGCCTAGCCACGCCATCCCCAATGAATCAGACACACCAAAAACTTATAACCTATTTCCTTCTGTTTGGAGAGGGACACAGAGAAGCCACATGTTACATAGCCTACTGAATTGAGGAACCATCCGCCACTGCTGAGCCAACTCCCAGCTCATTCCTTTGTTTGGGTCCTCTGTGCTCATGACATAGGTTTGCCATCTGGGATTTCATTCTGGCTGGTGTGCCTCTTTCTAAGCATTCTGGGGTCCTCTGTGCCCCCACCTGTCTATAAAGCACTGGGCAGAGACAAGGCGGGGCTTCCCGATGGTGGGGGGCAGGTAGGGACTTACTCCTTGAGCTCGTCCTGGCACTCAGCTCAGAGAGCAGTGCTCTGGGCATGACCAGCTGCCTGTGTCCCAAAAGCAAAGCAGTTGGTTGAAGAGCCACTTAAACACATAAGAATTGATGAAGGACCTAGGACGCAATCCTCCAAGTTAGAAGATAGTGGATTTGGGTCCTTGAAATCATGACTGGGTAGGGAGAGGGTGTCTGCTCTCAGGCTGGGACTGTTACTCTTGCCTGTGTCCCAAGCCTGTTTTCCCACCTGATGTCATGCCAGGCCATTCCTGCCCTCTCCCCTGTACCAGAGAAGAAACCATTCACTGTGTGTTTGTTTATTGAGCCCCTGCTGTGTTCCAGGCACAGGAGATAGAGAAGTAGGTGAGGCTCGCTCGGGCTCTGCAGTGAGCTGGGAGCTGAGTGCCCAGGGAGAGCAAGGTCACTGCAGCTCACAGCTGTACCAACAGTGCTCTTAGGCATGACCACTGCTTGAGACTGAGGGGCCTGGGAGGAACCCCAGTGAGTTCAGTGAGGGCCTGGTGGAACGCGCCAATGTTGAGCACAGGAGACACATGGAGAGGAGAGCTGGTGTGGCCAGCTGGTCAGCTGTAACGTCCAGGTGGGGAGAAAGGAGGCTTCATCCTTGGGGGAGCATGCGGTGGGGGCTGTCACTCCGACCCGTGGTCCTCATCCTCTCTGCCTGGGAAGAATTCTGTATAAGGGCCATGGTCAGGGGAGTCTTGTCTGGCTCCTCCACCCCCAGAGGACTTACCTAGTCATTCAAGGCCCTCCCTTTCCTAACTGACTCATGTTTTTTCTGGCTGTAGATACCTAGGGCAATCAAATTACATGTCCATCTGCCATGTCATATCTTCCATTATTCAATCGTAAATGCCTGCAGAGCATGGAAGAACCTACCCTCAGTTACTCTCTGTAAAGGAAGAGAAGTGGTAATCCAGTATTCAGAATCCCTGAGGCTCCCCTGGGGACAGGAACATGGAAAGTGCTGGGGATAGGAGACACAGCTTTTAGTCCTGGCTGTATTACCAGCTCATGGTGTGACTTTGGGCAAGTTGCTTTCCATCCCTGAAAAATGACAACTTCTAAGGTTCCTGTCCACACTGTATGGAGGGATTCATTTCCAGTTTGGTATTGGGGTGACTTCATGGCCCTTCAAATGGAAAGGCTCAAACACTTAGAAAAAAATCTCCAGGGAAAATAGAGGACTTGGCCATCTTTATTCCCAAAATCTATTTTGGAAGGAGTGGGTTCTACCAGGGAAACTAGAGAGGGATCCAGTTAGGGGGTACAGCTCTTGTGGAAGAGGTCAGACATCCCAGAAGGCAAACAAGCTCAGGATCTTTGACCAGCTGGGATGGCCCTTTCTCTTAGGCTGGCCGACTGAGCTTTTGACCCCCCACCCTGGCCTCATTTACTTACCTACTTTCATGCCTGTTCATTTACTGAGTGTACCCTGGGACCCATTTGGGGTTATGGCGCCTGCTAGAAAGTGTTAGCTGGTAGCTGCTTAGGGTGTTACTCTACCCAGGGTAACTGACAATTAATGAAGACAGAAAACATCTTAAGACTAAAGGCAGGACTTTGTAAGGATCAGTGTTAGGGAATAAGGGGGATGTTCTGGGGGCTGTAAAACCACACATCACTCTGGCTTCAGCTGGCCCGGAGCAGGGAGCAGAGTGTGCGGCTTCAGAGCTGCGGCTGTCAGACTGGGATCACAGAGGGACCACCTCTCTGCACCTTGACTGCTCTCTTCCATGAGGCCTCTGCCTAATGGCTTGGGGGAGCCTGTTCTGTCTGTCCAACTGCTTGACCCCCACTATGGAGTGTCCGGTCACCTTCTCCTGCTGCTTTTGCCAGCCCACTAGAGGCTCTTAACCTACCCTCTGTAGATGGGCCTCCCCTGCCCAGGAGGTCCCAGACCATTTTTCCTCGCTGATACCCTGGTGACAGAAAAGAGAGAAGAAAGGGAGGATGCCACAGAAGAAGGCTCTTGGGAAACACGAAGGGCCAGAGCTGGGGCCTTGTACATGGAGTCATTTTGCAATCATCCTAGGGGTTGAGGAAAAGCCATGGATTGGTTTGTTCATTCGCTGATTCATTAATTCTTTCCTCTTTCTCCATTTCCCCCACCCCCACCCCCTCTGCCCTTCCTTCCACAAGTGCCCAGTAGGCACCTCTAATAGAAACGGCTGGGTGTTGAGGATACAGAGGAGATGGCAGACCTGCTACCTGCCCATGGTGGGTGCGGTTTCCACTCTGGAGACATCACCTATGTATCACCCATGTGACCCAGCAGGGCAGTGCAATGCAGTGTGTCAAGGAGAACATCATGCCCAAGCCAAGAAAACAAGCTCCATCTGGGCAGGGCAGATGGCCAGGGAAGCAGAGTTGGGGCTAGGAGTCAACCCAGTGAGGGCACCCTGGAGGATGTGGGGAATCTTTAGGTCATTGGACTTGAGCCTGAGAGAACTGACAGGCTGGAGGGTAAAGGTCGGTTTGCTGTCTTTTGATTTTGTTTCCCTCTTTCACAAAAGGGTTTTCAGCAGGGTACTTTCACTTAAAAGACATGCACTTTTAAGATCCTTCTGAGTGCAGGGTGGGAAATAGATTGATTAGGTTTTAGACCCAAGGTAATTTTGAAACTGGGGCTGAACTAGATTCATCCTGTCTCCTCCTTACCCCAGAACTAACTTCTCCCTAGGCATGCGTAGACCACCTGTCTAAGGAAGCACCAGGGGAGCCTAGCCTATGGCCAAACCACGCTGGCTCCACCCCCTGCAGTACCAGCCTAGCCAGGGCATCTCCCCTCACCTTCCTGATTTGTTAGTGGCCAGGACAGCTTGGCTCTTCCCAGGGAACTAGGGGACAGTCTGGATAACACTTACCCATTCTCTCTGGCTGGATAGGAGGTATTCCTGGGGGAAGGAGAAAAAGAATGAATGAGGGCTGCAGTGCTTCCCTGGGAGCTCGGTGAGCTGGGAAGGGTTCATGGCTCTTTGGGGTCAATGCCTCTGGTGGGTCTTCAGTGGAACTCTAGTCACTTCCCTGTCTCCGCGGGGCTGAGCCACCGAGCTGCTCCTGGCAGGAGGCAGTGCGGAGTACTGGAAAGTGTACACACTTTGGAGTCATTGCCACCTGGCACCAGCTGGGCATCCTTGGTAAAGTGTTAACCTCTCTGAACCTTAGTTTCCCTGCTGGTGATAAAGGCAGCATGGTTGAGAGGTTCCATCACATGTGAGCAGAATAGGTGCTCAATAACTATTTCTCTTATACCCCATGCCCTGCTCCTCATGGGTTGTTGGATTTGGAAGAGAACTCTGAAATGGCCCAGTTCAAAACTCATTTTGTAGGGGAGGAAACTAAGGCCAAAGCATTTGGCCACAAGTTGATTTTCTGTATTTTTAAAAGCATTTATTTTTATTTCAAAAGCAGTCTTTGAATACGTGCCCACCACAAAAAGAGTCAAGTAATGTAGAGGCTTTTACTCACTCCCTTGCCTCCATTCTCTATCCTAGATGTAACCACTGTTGACAGTTTGATATTTATCTAGAACTTTCCCTATGCATTTGCACATATATGTGTGTAATGTATAGTTTTTTTTAAAACAAGTAGGCTCCTGTCATACATACTGTCATATAACTTGCTTTTTCCACTTAACCAATATCTTGGAGATTTTTTCCATAACTTTCCAGAGATCTGCCTCATCCTTTTTAATGGCCACAAAGGCTATGGATATGCCTAATATATTTTGACCATTCCCCTATTGATGGTTTTTATGTCATTTACAAACTTGCTATTGCAAACAAGTTGGCAGTGAACACTCTGGTACAAATATCTCAGCTCTCATATATAAATAGAATTTCTACTGAGGTGAGAGGTTGTCCAAAGGTATGCATATTTCCAACTTTGATGGATATTGCCAACATGTCCTCTGAATAGTCAGTGTGTAAAAGTGCCAGTTTCTTCATACCCTCACCAATACCACTTAAAAATACATATGTAATGTTGACAATAAGAAAGAGAAAACCGTCCAGACTTTCTCTTGTACCCCCAGAACAAGACTGCCGACTGAGAGTGCCCTCAGGGACTGGTTGCCTGGAACAGGTTCCTTGTAACAGTTCTATTTCAGCCAAACAGAATCAACTAGAAACCTTGGCCCCTGTGTTTGCTCATATCAGACGCCAATCTCTAGCTCCACCACCCTCCAAAGTCATCCACAGGTAAGAGACTCCTACCAGACTAGAGTAACATACCCTGTCCGTTAGCCAGGTTTAAGGTAGGGCCTCTGCCTGGTGTAACAACCCACTCAGAACTGCTCCTCACTGGGCATCTCTCTCCTTTGTCACTCACCTCCTACCTGCTTCCCCATCAGCCCAAAGAACTGGCTTGCTTTGCCCCTCTTCACCTCCTGAAGCTGGAGCTGAATGCTGGGGATGACGCCTTCCTGGAGAGGCAGAGAGTTCGTTAGATTTGGGGAAAGGTTGGCGAGGACACAGGGAGGGTAGCCTGAGCACTAACAACCCCAGTGACACTTGCTCTGTGTCAGGACTGGCTTTTTTTTGCACGTTTTACCCAATAGTATGCATAATGTAATTAATATCAACATTTCACCTGGCACTGTTCTAAGCACTTTCATACATAAACTCATTTAATCCTCACCAAAACCACATGGACTAAATACTGTTACTGTCACCATTTTACAGATGGAAACACTGAAGCACAGAGATTAGAAAATTTGTCCCCACTCACCAGCCAGGATATGGGAGGTGGAGCCAGAACTCGAACCCAGGTCATCTGACTCAAAGGGTCAAACATTACAGTCATAATCTCATTTACTCCTCACAGCCACCGTATGAAGTAGGGACTCTGATTTATCTCCATTTTACAGATGGGAAACAGACTCCTGGAGATTGAGTGACTTGCTGAGAGGGAGAGATGCTTGCAGGTGGAGAGAATGACAGTGGGTGATATTCATTAGACCAGCTTCACATCTCTGTGTCCCCAGTACCTGGCACAGAGCCTGGTGCACACAGCTCCTCATGTGTGGGACACAGAATGCTGAATGAGGGGTCTTTTCTCTGCGTCTGGGAATAGGGAAGGAGGGTTTCCTTTTCCAGGAAGGCTGAACACAGGCAAACAGAGCCCTAGAATGCAAGCCACATGCCAGGAAGCTGGAAGCTGGGGTTCAATTGGGGGCTGGCTCTTCCATCCCCAATTTCCCCAGGGGCAACACTAGAGCTCCTGGGACCAGCAAGGATCTGGCTGGGGTGTAGTGAAAACCCCTTTGCCTCTCACAGCTCATCTTGTCCCAGCTTTGGGATTGGGAGTGGGTGGTTTTATAAGCTTTGGACTAATTTAGTCACTTCCAATCTGACTCCTCTCCAGAATGTCCATGTCTGGGGCAACAGTCTTGGGCTGGAGTTGCCAAGCCTGGCCAGGAACCAGGAAAGTTTTTGGAGATTAGGACCCATTTCTGAAAAACACATGAAAACCACTTTGCTTTAGTAAAAGGCAGCCTTCAAGTGCAAGCTGAAGAGAATGACTGTGAATTAAAGACTCACCTTTCTGCCATCCACCGGATTTCTGGGGGCCTGTTAGGAGGCATTCATTCCCTTTCATGCAGGAGAGACTTCTGCTCCCACCTGGAGCCCGCCTTATCCACTTAAGCCAAACCCCCAGCTCCGGAGAGAACTGTAGGCAGGGAGCCCCAAGAGCTAGGGAGGTGATGGGACCATCCTTGACGGTGCCACCATTCCTTGAGTCACCTCACTCCTATCAACGGTTGCTGTATCCCCAGCCCTGCATCTTGGGAAGCAGAGGTCTGCTAAATGAAGGTAGAAAGGACATAAGTCCCCGGCCTAGGGGCAGAATGAGGTGCTTGTGGGTGGAAAGCCCAGCAGTGCTAGTTGATGCTGATGTGTCCTGTGTGGCTGCATAGTTCCCTGTCACCTAGAAGCTTCCCTGTGCCTGGACCAGCTCCCCTGATGTTCAGCACAGACTCCATAAAGCATGTCAAAGCTTGAAAAAGCCTTCGGGATCATCTCTCTCCCCCCATTTCACAAGTGAGGAAACTGATGTCCAGAGACCTTCCCAAGGTCACACAGTCAGTGGAGAAGCTGAAAATTGAACCCAGGTCTCCCCATCCTGCACCTTCTCAACCCAACACGCTTCCTCCTTCAGACAAACAAGGAAGGAAATCCACGAGTGGCTGTTCATTCAATGGCTCCTCCCGTGGCCCCAGGGTCCTCACCAGGGCAGGGAGGAGCCAGGCTGAGTCTTGTCTGCCGTCTGGGAAGCCTTCCCTGAGTCCTGGCCCTGTTTGTCTATGGGCGTCGGCCTTGCTCCCTCTCTCACTGGGAGCTCCCCAGGGTCAGGATCTTTGTTTCCCGGATCGGATGCGGTGGGGCACAGATGCTGTGTCTCTGAATTTTGGATTTCTCCCCAGAGACAGCACTCAGGTCAGCTTAGAAGAGACTGTAATCAAGCCAGTACTTATCAGGAATTAAGAGTTTCTAAATGTGAGACAAAAGGGTGATCCTGCCCCAAGTTGACTCCGTTGAAAGGAAATTCTGGAAAATGCCCTCTCATGCAGAAACACAGTCAGACCTTAGGCAACGTGTGCAGTTGAAGATGTGGAACCAAGGACAAACTACTTGAGTTTTCTGTACCTCAGTTTCCTTATCTGTGAAGTGGAGATAGTAATGGCACCTCCCCAAGGTTGATATGAGGATTAAATGGGTTAATATTTATGAAGCATTTATCACTAGTGCCAGAACATAGTATATGTTAAATAAGTGTTAAATCACACACACACACACACACACACTCTGACAGTCAGGGGCCATGCCTTGAACCTGACCGCCAAAAGGAGTCAGACAACCTGCCTTGCAGTCTACAATCTGCTCTCCTGCGCATATTCTGCCCCCTCCACCCTGGATCATTCCTTCCCTCTCCCCACAGTTACCTCCAGAGACACGGTTACCCAGGCCCCTGTTTCAGCACCAAGAGCCAGCTCCTGGTCACCTGCCACAGTACATGCAGACAGCCCCATCAGGAAAAGCAGGGTGAGGCAGAGTAGCATGGTGAGCTCTATTCTGTCCTGGGACCCTCTGGGAGCCCCACTCAGCCTACCGCCAGTAGGCCCTTCCTCTCTCTGGCTCCTTTCATGTAGGAAGGGGAAGCTCCACCTGCTCTCTCTCCTGCCAGCTACCCTGCTTCTTAAGCTTATCTGACCTCCAGAGCCATTTCCTGGGACTCCCCTCCCTCTCTGGCTGGAAAGGTTAATGATATCAGGAGCTGCTCAGAGGAGGGACCAGATCTCTTACACTGCTGCCCCCAGCACTTGAGCCCAGGGCTTAGCACCCTGCTGTAACACTGCCTTGCCTTGGCTGCGGTCCCTCTGGTGGCAGGTGCACAATGGGGCAATGTGTGCGGCCTGGTGCTCCCAGCTTCCTGACTGGAAACCCCAGGGGCCCTTGTCATCTTGGACATGGGGAGGGGACTGTATGGCTTCTCCCTTCCAGGTGTTCTGCTCCCTTGAAAGAGAGGCTTCTCCCCAGAACTTAGTATTCTACCACTTGCCTACCCTTCCTGGCTAGCCTGAGGCACCTTCCTCAGCGTTCCCCTCTATCTGTAGTCTGCATGTGCATAGAAATGGATGACTGCCCTAAGAGAAACAACACAGCTTTTAAAGGAATGGGTCTTCCATCCCCAATTTCCCCAGGGGCAACACTAGAGCTCCTGGGACCAGCAAGGATCTGGCTGGGGTGTAGTGAAAACCCCTTTGCCTCTCACAGCTCATCTTGTCCCAGCTTTGGGATTGGGAGTGGGTGGTTTTATAAGCTTTGGACTAATTTAGTCACTTCCAATCTGACTCCTCTCCAGAATGTCCATGTCTGGGGCAACAGTCTTGGGCTGGAGTTGCCAAGCCTGGCCAGGAACCAGGAAAGTTTTTGGAGATTAGGACCCATTTCTGAAAAACACATGAAAACCACTTTGCTTTAGTAAAAGGCAGCCTTCAAGTGCAAGCTGAAGAGAATGACTGTGAATTAAAGACTCACCTTTCTGCCATCCACCGGATTTCTGGGGGCCTGTTAGGAGGCATTCATTCCCTTTCATGCAGGAGAGACTTCTGCTCCCACCTGGAGCCCGCCTTATCCACTTAAGCCAAACCCCCAGCTCCGGAGAGAACTGTAGGCAGGGAGCCCCAAGAGCTAGGGAGGTGATGGGACCATCCTTGACGGTGCCACCATTCCTTGAGTCACCTCACTCCTATCAACGGTTGCTGTATCCCCAGCCCTGCATCTTGGGAAGCAGAGGTCTGCTAAATGAAGGTAGAAAGGACATAAGTCCCCGGCCTAGGGGCAGAATGAGGTGCTTGTGGGTGGAAAGCCCAGCAGTGCTAGTTGATGCTGATGTGTCCTGTGTGGCTGCATAGTTCCCTGTCACCTAGAAGCTTCCCTGTGCCTGGACCAGCTCCCCTGATGTTCAGCACAGACTCCATAAAGCATGTCAAAGCTTGAAAAAGCCTTCGGGATCATCTCTCTCCCCCCATTTCACAAGTGAGGAAACTGATGTCCAGAGACCTTCCCAAGGTCACACAGTCAGTGGAGAAGCTGAAAATTGAACCCAGGTCTCCCCATCCTGCACCTTCTCAACCCAACACGCTTCCTCCTTCAGACAAACAAGGAAGGAAATCCACGAGTGGCTGTTCATTCAATGGCTCCTCCCGTGGCCCCAGGGTCCTCACCAGGGCAGGGAGGAGCCAGGCTGAGTCTTGTCTGCCGTCTGGGAAGCCTTCCCTGAGTCCTGGCCCTGTTTGTCTATGGGCGTCGGCCTTGCTCCCTCTCTCACTGGGAGCTCCCCAGGGTCAGGATCTTTGTTTCCCGGATCGGATGCGGTGGGGCACAGATGCTGTGTCTCTGAATTTTGGATTTCTCCCCAGAGACAGCACTCAGGTCAGCTTAGAAGAGACTGTAATCAAGCCAGTACTTATCAGGAATTAAGAGTTTCTAAATGTGAGACAAAAGGGTGATCCTGCCCCAAGTTGACTCCGTTGAAAGGAAATTCTGGAAAATGCCCTCTCATGCAGAAACACAGTCAGACCTTAGGCAACGTGTGCAGTTGAAGATGTGGAACCAAGGACAAACTACTTGAGTTTTCTGTACCTCAGTTTCCTTATCTGTGAAGTGGAGATAGTAATGGCACCTCCCCAAGGTTGATATGAGGATTAAATGGGTTAATATTTATGAAGCATTTATCACTAGTGCCAGAACATAGTATATGTTAAATAAGTGTTAAATCACACACACACACACACACACACTCTGACAGTCAGGGGCCATGCCTTGAACCTGACCGCCAAAAGGAGTCAGACAACCTGCCTTGCAGTCTACAATCTGCTCTCCTGCGCATATTCTGCCCCCTCCACCCTGGATCATTCCTTCCCTCTCCCCACAGTTACCTCCAGAGACACGGTTACCCAGGCCCCTGTTTCAGCACCAAGAGCCAGCTCCTGGTCACCTGCCACAGTACATGCAGACAGCCCCATCAGGAAAAGCAGGGTGAGGCAGAGTAGCATGGTGAGCTCTATTCTGTCCTGGGACCCTCTGGGAGCCCCACTCAGCCTACCGCCAGTAGGCCCTTCCTCTCTCTGGCTCCTTTCATGTAGGAAGGGGAAGCTCCACCTGCTCTCTCTCCTGCCAGCTACCCTGCTTCTTAAGCTTATCTGACCTCCAGAGCCATTTCCTGGGACTCCCCTCCCTCTCTGGCTGGAAAGGTTAATGATATCAGGAGCTGCTCAGAGGAGGGACCAGATCTCTTACACTGCTGCCCCCAGCACTTGAGCCCAGGGCTTAGCACCCTGCTGTAACACTGCCTTGCCTTGGCTGCGGTCCCTCTGGTGGCAGGTGCACAATGGGGCAATGTGTGCGGCCTGGTGCTCCCAGCTTCCTGACTGGAAACCCCAGGGGCCCTTGTCATCTTGGACATGGGGAGGGGACTGTATGGCTTCTCCCTTCCGGGTGTTCTGCTCCCTTGAAAGAGAGGCTTCTCCCCAGAACTTAGTATTCTACCACTTGCCTACCCTTCCTGGCTAGCCTGAGGCCCCTTCCTCAGCGTTCCCCTCTATCTGTAGTCTGCATGTGCATAGAAATGGATGACTGCCCTAAGAGAAACAACACAGCTTTTAAAGGAATGGGACTCCTCACAGGCAGGAATTGAGATTTGCCTGAAGAATGGCCTCCTGCTCAAGTGTCATCAGTTCTAAACTACTTCCCACTGCTGCCAAAGTGATCCTTCTACAGCCCTAACCTGACCTCTCTCTCCCCACTTACAGCCATCCAAGGTCCCCCCACGGGTGCCCTTGCATGAAGTTCAAGCTCCCTTCTCATACTAGTTCCTCCCTGTCTCCTTTCTGTCCATCCGTCCATCTGTCCATCTGTCAGTGTAGAACAAGAGCCCTGCAGTCACAGCTGAATTCCAATCCTAGCTCCACCACTAAATAGCTGTGTGACCTGGGGCACATTACTTAACCTCTCTAAACCTCAGAATCCTAATCTGTAAATGGGATTAATAATAGCACTTATTTCTCAAAATTGTTTGAGAATGAGAAAAGATCATGCATTTGGAGCACTTAGCCCAGTGCATGATGGTAAATATTTAATATCCATTGCCTATTATTACTATCACTATCATTGACAATGGGTGAGGCACTGGGCCCCAGAAGATGAGTAAGATGTCATCCCACAGTTCAGCAGAGGAAACCTGTGGTTGGCAGATAAGCTATGTTGCGTTTGGTATGTGCCAGCATGGAGATGGGAGCGAGAGGACGGTATGTGCACCTTGCTGGTCTGCCCCGCAGCCATTCCCTGACCCCTGACAGGCTGTACCACCTACTCCAAGGACAGGCCGAGACTCCCTGTCCCATGCTCTGAACCTGGCTGTTGCTTCTGCCTGGACCTCCTTTTCTATCTGGTGAACTCTACCCATCCTGAAAGGTCCAGCTTAATGGTTATCTCCTTAGTGGAGTTTTTCTGTCTCTATTCCTGACTCCAGCAAGAATTAATTGGCCCCTTTTCTGGGCTTCCCAGTCGCGGTGAGAGGTTGTGTGGGCTGTGTCCCCCACACGCGTGGCCGCTGAGAGAGAGGGTGGAGGGAGAACACAGCCCTCCATTGGCTCACTGAGCTGCGCAGTCTAGTGGGAGGCTTTGAACCCGTGGCAGAAGGCACTTTGCTCCATTTCTCCCAGAGGGGCCAGCTGGGCAGAGGGCAGTCCGGCTAGTCTACTTTTATGCCACAAGCTCTCTGAGGTTGGGCCTGTGGTATATGTGTGCTTGGCACACGGTAGGTCCTCAAGCAACGTGCACTGACTCAGTCCAAGGCAGTGAAGGCAGAGCTGAGTATGGGCAAGTGTGGAGGTTTGGGAGGACACCCATCCTCACACACCACCTCCACCAGCTTCCAGGAATCTCTTTGGTGGATCCCAAACCGGTTGGCTTCAAAATTCCTGCATTTGCTGAAATGCTGACTCCCCAGCTCAGCCACTGTTTTGAGAGCCAGCCCTGGTCTCTGGGTCTCTCAACACACCAGTCACTCAGCTTCCCCCCCATCTTTCCCAAGGGCAGGGTGTTTAATACCTCACATTCCTTGTCAGGTTTTTCACTGCTAACAAGTTCTTCCTTACAAAGAACAGTTTTGCTTTTTTTCATCCCCTTCATTTTACAGTGTGGAAACTGAGGTGTGTTGGGCTTGCTCTAGGTTACACTGAGAACTGGTGGCAGACTAGCATCCGTGGTCCTAATCAGCTGCTTCCCACCTTCCACTGAGGCTTCAGCCCACAAGGGCAACCAACACAGGGCTGGAGGCAGGTTACCGGCATGGGCCTGGACCAGGGAGATAGCCTCCCATTCTGCAGGTCCAAATGAGGTGACTTTAGGACCTAAGGAGTCTCTCTGAGCCTCAGTTTCTCCATCTGCAAATTGGGGCCACCCCCCTACTGGCTGGTGGTAAAGGTTTCATGAATTCCCATCCTTAGCGTGCACCCCTGGCCTAGTGCACAGTATGAGTCCAATTAATCTGAAC